CTTTTCCGATTCGGATTTGGACTACTAATTGGTTTGACCAGGTCAACCGGATGATGGTACAAAATGAGGGCAGAGTGCATTACATTTCCATGTCTAAAGACTAAGGTCTCAAATTATTAACACGGTTTTCTGCGCTCATCGTAAAATCATCGTGAGAAAACGGAATTTGCTGCACCGCCACGTGCGGAGCTGATCATTGTGATGCGAACTGCTCATTTTAGAATATATACTTAAAATATTGATATGGAAATGAAGGGAAGAAGAGCGGTTACTCATTCAATGTGCATGTCATTTGCGAAAGTTCATGCGAGACAAAAACATCACTTTTTCAAATTTGAAGAAGACGTCGTCTTACTGTAAGTCAAGTGGAATTGTAAATTGTTTGTTTTCCATTACATTTCCTTCTGTTTTTCTCCGGGTTTTAATTGAAATGAGCTGCCCGGCATAAAACCCGATATAATTATGTTGTGCATCATAGAACTAGATACTTTGGTCTTGATTATTATGGACGAACATCTGGAAAAAAGCACGTGTGTTTTGACTTTTTCGTTGGACTTCCCTAAGGAAATTAGATGGCTTTCAAGTTCAAACAACGCTCAATGACACGTTGAACATCAATGCTTGAAAATCAAATTATCGCCGAGCAAGGAAACTTTTTCTGCTGCAGGAAAGAAGGAATCGCAATTTAGGGATGAGAAAACTAAATGTGCGACACGTTTTTTTTGTTGCGTGCTATGGGTATGATGCGGTGTCTAATTATTACGTAGATATAGGAGTAAAAGTTTCAAATGGCTGCGCTCTCGAATTACATGCTAGTGTTTGGAAGAGAGAAGAAAAGTGTAGGCGTGCGGCGAAGAGATCTCCGGGACGTCGTCAGTGATGAGAAGAAGAACAGAAGTACGAGTGATCACAATTAGAAGGGAGGAGAGGGTGACGTGTCTCCGTCACTTACCCAGAAAAATATTCGCGAAGCCGTGAGAATGAGTCGGATGTGAAAGTTGAAAGTTGGAAGTACACATTTACTCGAGACTTACTACTACTGCAAATCTGACGTCGGACTAGATGGCGAAGAAACAGAGGAACGAGAAATTTGACACCGAGTGTGCCGAACGTCAACTACCGTATACCTCTCCTCTCCGCCGCCGGCTCACTCTTTCTACTATGGAACTCAATTTTCATGCGTTGTTGTTGTTGGTTTTTCTCCTTCTCTCTCCTTCTCTCTTCAAAGAAAATGCAGCTGGCGCAGCTGCATGACCTTATGGAACAAACGTAGGAATGTGATAAATGTGACGAAAATAAGCGTGGGGTACACATTTGAATGTGCTAATTGAGATGCCGAGAGCCACGTACTCAAATGGGACACGGACGGGGAAGTGGACTCAGCAGTTAATGGTAACTCGTTTAATGAAACTGAGAAGAGGCGGAGCAGAATAGATATAAAAGAAACGGGCGCGCAAAATGGGGTTCAGTGCGAATGTCTCATAATTGCATTTGTGTCAAGAAATAGAGCGGACGGGGAGGGCACGACCAAAGAGAAGAAATTAAAAAGAAGCACTTGCCGAAACACCGAGAATTCTATTCCATTCCACATTTTATTCCATATATATATGATGATGAGGATGATGACATTTTTAGAAATGAAGTCTCGAAAGTCATGGTGCGCGGTGAAATGAACGTCAATGCGCTAACTCGCAAATATTGAAGCAGGTGGATGAATGTAGATCGCGATCACAAAAATGTGCCTCAAGGTGAGTTCTGATATGTTATGATCTCAAACGTGCTACGAAACGTTCGCACGCGTATTAAAAATGAGAGAAAAACATTAAAATTTAAATCGATGTCGTCATAATCTTAGTGTGGTCTGCATGTTTTCTACGGAATCGCTGAACGATACAAACTAACACTCATTTGAATGTAAGTAAATAATTACAACTTGTCCTTCGTTGTTTGAACCACACAAATCAAAACGTAAAAAAGTTCTGAAGGCCTCGGGGAGTGCGCAGAGAAGGGTCATGAAGTGCGGGTTGTGTAGGTGACCAACCAAACCCACAGGTCGCGGGTATTGGCCGGAAATTAGCGAGTAACATGCGGATGAATTGAGTGAGAAACGGGTGAGAGTTACGTTCGGGAGCCAGAATGAAATGAATAAACAAGGCGGGAAGCAACCAAAAATCAGGTGGATGATCAGGATCGTGTTGTGACATCGGCCGGCTCATAACCAGTCTTTTAGGGAGAAGTGTCGAGTGGTGGACGGTGACGGCAGACACCTATAATTTGATAGCATTTCCTAGCAGAAGAGATTGCGTCAACATCTGATTCGACGGAGCCTTTCGGAGCTCGTAGCCGAGCACAGTCAAGTTGCAACTGCAGGAGTCTTGAGAAACCTTCTGATCTTTCTCCCACGCAGTGCAATCACATTGCATTTGGAGTCTCTGAGCTCCAATTTGATTTCCAGATACTTCTAGTCCTTTTCAAGTAAGCAGCACTCGAAAAAAGAGACAAAGTCGCAGCTTTCTCGTGCGTTGTCGAGCAATCCAAAAATTAGCTTTATAGGGGCCAATTTTGCAAAAAAAGTTGAAAATTTCCGGAGCGATGAATGACGCGAAGCGGTGACATAATTTGGCCTCCATCGGGAAATAATAGAATAGAGAGAAGAGAGGAAAGACCAACGAAACGCTAGAACTGATTCTACCGGGTGCCACGTCTCTAATTAGACTCTAAGAGTTCTCAACGATGTTAAGGCGGCATGAGAAGCGAACTTTGATGAAAAGGCAAAAATAAAAGAGAGAGAGAGGGAGAGAGAGAGAGAGAGAAAGAGAGAGAAGAAACAAATTCCAAGAACGTCCTCTCCAGAAGGCGTCGCAAGAGGAGAAGTAGAACAACGTGACACCTCGCACATTTTTTGGACAAAACATCGGATATGTTAATGAGTAGCAAATAGTTAGAAACAGGGCTGGGAAATTGGCTGGCACGGGCTTTTCGCTGGCCGGAACCAGTTGCACTTTTCTTATCGGACCCAAACATTGCAGGCTTCTTGGACATGGATTGAAGTATACTGGGACAAAGTTTCAGCCCGATCGGTGTTTTTGCTCCCCAGATATAGTGCTTGAGGGCTAATTTTGGCCAATGATCCACATATATCTGGACCAAATAGTCCGATGGGACTGAATCTTGAACTCAATATACTTCAAGTTTAGGTACGATAGGAAAAATGCAACTAGTTCAAAAGTCCACACCAAGGGCCGGTCAACGAAAAGTCCGTGCCGGCCAATTGGCCAGCCCTGGTTAGAAATGTATGCGGTCCCCTCTTCTATGCGAAAGGCCAAGAAAATGAGCCGCCAGGGCACAAAAACGCAACACGTTTGCCTATTATTCCATATAGAGCCGAGGACGAAGCTAACGGATGAGAGCGGAGCGTTGAGAGGGCTACATGTGCACATTTTTTGACAAGTGGACTGGTCGAGGTCAAAAATAAATAGGATTTCTTGGCAGAGTGCCTTTATACATTATTCTAACAACGTCTAGAATCTAAAATCTTGTTATAGTTGACCAACTCACCAAAGTAAGTAAAAAATCACTCCGCCAAAGCTTCTAGTAAGGTGAAATTAGCCACCCGTCATCGAAAAAACATTCCAAACTATAAATATACAAAGCCTAGCGTATAGAAACCAAACAATTTCCGTGTACCATTGTCAGAAACAAGCAATTTGCAACGACGTGGTTCCAGTCAAGTGCAGAACGGACGAGAGTAGGCGAGTTGACGGAAAAGCAACGCGATTCGATCTATTTCTGTTGCATTGTGGCGTCATATCTCGAAAAAGGACCCCAGGACAAATTATATTGTCAACCTGGTGAAAAATAGACAGGAAATGGGAAAACGGAGCAAACGAAAGGGAGAGAGATAGAGAGAGCGAGTAGCAAGTACTAAACCATCGGCAAGCTGATTAATGTGTTCGGTTCGCGAGCGAACATCCGGGGGGGGGGGCGCTGGATTATAATCAAAAATACATGGATTCTCTACACGGAAATTGTAATCTGGGGAAACTCAAAAGCACTGAATATAGTCCGTTTGGTTTGACATGTGATAACAGAAAGATGATGTAGTGCAAAAGGGACCAAGTTCGTTATTCTTTTGCAAAGTAATATGAAGCGGAAAGCTTGAAACGATTGTTACGAGCAAAACAACCGAGTTTTGCACTTTCTTTTACAGCCCACACAAAATTCACTCTCAAAATAAGACATTTTGTTGACTGCTCGTTCGATTCGCTTCAAAACATCATTTTATAAAAGATATTAGAGGAACTATCCGAGCAAAACACACACAATTGAATGTGCTCTTTTCACGAATAATTATTCAATGGTTTTGCATGTTGCTCCCATTCATTCTCGGCTCAAAGGATTCTATATCTAAATGGACGAAATTAGAGGAAACGGGACTCCTTTGCAGCGGCAACCACGCGGAATTCTGATTTAAGCCCTCTTTTCCCTCATATTTTCCGCTTCCTTGCGTGAAAACAAATACAAAAGTGTTCCATTCTCGTAATCTGTAAATGTCTGTTCTAGTCCTGCTTGCCAATATTGCGGCGTATTTGTATTGGAGACGTCAACCAAAAAAGCCAATCGTCTGGCGTTTGGGAAATTCACATTTTGACACATCCAGACCGCAAGATTTTTAGAATTAAAGAGTGTATGAGTACTTGTTGAGGGTATCATTTGACCATTTATAATTCACGATTTCGCACTTTTTGTCTGAAGAGAATCGAATAGTTATCGGAACAGGTTTGTTTCCTGAATTTTACTTTCCTGTTCTCTTTGTGGTGGAAAGTTGGGGCCAGCTCTCGGAGGAAACGTTAATTGAGAGCATGCCTGTTTCTGGATTACAAAACATTCATTCATAAGACAAAGGACCATTGCGGTCAAACATTTCATGGGGATAATAGGGGAGAGATACTGTCGGAGTGTTTTCATGTGAGTTGTTTAACTTGTGGGGAGTGACCGGTCTACTTGCGCTCGCTGACGAAGGCGTCCTCGGGATGTCCGGCCATGCTGAAAGATGAAAACGTCATTGGGAAAAGGCTGGGACACGGGCGAAACTCACAAGTCCTGGAGGAAGAGCCGCTGGTCGACCTTGATCTCCTCCACCTTCGAGATCTCCTCCGGCGAGAGGCTGAAGTCGAACACGTTGAAGTTCTCGATGATTCGGCTTTCGGTGACCGACTTCGGGATGATGGCGAGTCCGCGGTCAAGAGCGTAGCGGAGCAGTACCTGAGCCGGGGTCTTGCCGTGCTTCTGGGCAACAGCAACCACGTTGGCGTCCTCGAGATCCGACGGAGCCGGGGCCCAGTCCAGCTTTCTGGAAAGAAAGAAAACAGTTTGGGGCAAACGAAAAGAGAAACTCACTGTCCGGTCGGCAGAGTGAAGTGAACGCGTCCTGGGCTTCCGAGGGTCGAGTAAGACGTGACCGAGATGTTGTTGGCCTGGCAGAACTTGACGTGCTCGTGTTGCGGGAAGTAGAGGTGGAGCTCCACCTGCGAGTTGTGGACCGGGGTGACTCCGAGAGCCAAAACTCTGGCGATCTGGTCGTTGTTCCAGTTGGAGACGCCGACGGCCCTAGCGAGACCGCTCTTGTAGACCGAGTCGAACTGAGCCCAGATGTCCTCCACTGGGGACGGGATGTGGGCCGACATGTCGTCGTTGAAAGCAGCCGGCATGTGAGCCAAGTACAGGTCGACGTACTCGAGCTGGAGCTTCTTCAGCGAGGTACGGAGAGCGCCCTCGAGTTTTCCAGGAGCGAGCTCGTGGGTCCAGGCCTTGGTGGTGATGAACAGCTCTTCGCGCTTCACGACTCCTTCTTGGATGAGCTCGGCGATGGCAGTTCCAATTGCCTCCTCGTTCTGGTACACCGAGGCAGTATCGATGAGACGGTATCCGGCGCGGACGGCGGCCTTGACGGCGGCGATGACCTCCGCTGGGCTCGATTGCCACGTTCCGAGTCCGATGACCGGCATGGCGACGCCGTTGGAGAGAACGATGGTAGCGGATGGAGAAGACATTGGTGCAGTTGTCAAGTCGAAAGCCTGAACCGATGGAAAGTTATGAGGTGAAATTGTTTTAAGTGCGAGCCAAGACAAACAGACGGAGTGAAGAGCGAAGAAATGGAGGAAAAATAACGACCGCAAATATAAGTGCCTGTGATCTGTGTGCGATTGTAGTGATGATAGCTGCCAATTTGGAAACAAGAGTATGTGAGGCCCCTCCCTTCCAAACAGAACATTCAGACTGCGGCTAGTACGACAAAACCGATTTGAATCTGTGTCTCCGAAATAAAAACGAAGCCTTGACATGAATCTGAGAGGAAACCTGCACGGAAGATCTCGATGCAATCTAACACGTCGCAGTTGGCTGGGTGCTATATGTATACTCACGCACGCTTCTGATAAGAATACAAACCTGCACGCAAAACGCTGACAAAACCAAGACCAAGAGGACAATGGCTTCCGAGCGAAATAAAAACGTTGGAAGAGCAGGCAAACGGAGGCGCAGAGAGTCCTGGTCAACGACTTGATGACATTTTTTTATCGAAACACAGGCCGAGAACGTTGATAAGATGCAAAAGAGTCGAAAAGAGGTGGAGCTGCAGTGTTTCGCCGCTGGAAAAGCGTTACTCTGAGTGTAGGCGGAAGAAGTCGGCGTGAGAATGGAGTATGCTCGAGTTGGGCATAATCAAAATTAATAAAAATTTCGTGGGGTCGAAAAATGCGTCTCATCATCAATTCCATCGCCCAGAGGATACGGAACAAAAGATCACTGGACGTCTTCGAGTCCTCATTAACTTCGGGCGAAAAAAGGGAGAAAAGAAATCGATTCAAAAAGGAACACTGCCGTGCACGGAGAAAACACCGAGGGAATGACTGAACAGGTCCATCTGCTCAGGTTGACCTTCAGTTCAGATACATCGGAACCGCCGCAAAAATGCGGAATGTCGGCAAATTGCCGCGCAGACAGATTTTTGTGTAAGGCGTACTGTAGAGAGACATTTGCCAACATTATTTTTTAAAAAAGCATGTGAATACGGTCCTCGGTGCGACTAGAAAACGTTCGAAAAGTGATCGATTTTTCAGACTTTCATTCGAAAATTGCTTTTTTCTATGAGTTTTGCTAGAAACCGCCGGAGAACGTGTTTCACTAACTTAAAATCAAAAAAGTCAACAAGTCTGGAAAACTAGAAGACTATTTGTTTGAACTCTTGCCATTTCGCATATACTTCCATAAAATTATACATACAACTCTGCCAGCAATCCAACTTTGCCCAATTTTTGCAGTGTTCTTTGTCAACAAACAAATTTATCCGGAGGCGATCAAAACTTTCAAAGATTTTAATATATACCTATACAGTACCAGTACAATTGAATGAGTTTAAGCTGCCCCTGATGATGACCGAGCGGGGGAGAGAAAGCAGAAAAGAAATTGAGGTAAAGGGTTCGCGAAGATGTAAAGCTCACAATGCATTGAAGTGTACAAAAATAGGTACAAAATTTCCAATCTAAACAAAAATAACAAAGTAAAAAAAAACGTGAAGCAACGATTTCAGGAGATGGAAATCTCGTTGAAGTCGCCTTCAAAATCCATGTTTGCGGTATCGACTTCGACGCGGCGAACGATGGTGCCCACTGGCAAGTTGTACCTGAAAAAGTAAAGATGAAAAGCGAAGGAAATTCCAAAATACTCACCGGTTGACTGGTTTCTTGATGGAGCAACTATCCGATCGGACCACTCGAGCGATGATCCAGTTGCGGCGGGTGGTTGGGTCCGAGGCGTTGATGCCCAAACGACGGATCGAAGACTCTTTCACAAAGTAGCGATGGTTGCTCGCGCTGCGAATGGAGCTAATTATTCTTCGTTTTACAAGAAGAAAACCAACCAGAAAATAACGTAGGCGTTGTGAACATGATGCCAGAGGACGAGAACAGCGGATCCGACCTTGATGTCTTGCACGGAAACGAGCATGTTCATGGCCGGCATACAAAGACGGGTTTGAGTTGAGATGGTGTTCAGGCTGGCGCGTTCGAATTCGAAGGCGAGGTCGGAAGGCGAAGTGGTGACGTGGTACGTGCTGGCCGCCATCGGTTGGTAGAAGCTCTCTTCCATCATGTTTCCAAACGAACTCCTGGCCATCGATGCTGAAATTTTGATTTTGATTTAGAAAGCATTTCTTTTTGAATCTTACAAGATTTGTACTTGGCAGCACACTCCTTCACCTTCGGAGAGTCCTCAATAGCGTAGGTTCCAGCGGAATAGATGCTTGCAACGTAAGTGTTGAGCCACACTTGCATTGTCCGAGCCAACCTTTTGATTTCTTCTCTGAAAAATGTCCACTTGTGAATTTTGAGATTATTTTGGTAAAAAGTACTCAATTTTTCAGGTTTTCACTGGGAAAATTAATTTTTTCATCGAAATTGGCTCGACTCAACCGGCTCGGCCAGCCCGCGACAAGTCCTACTTGTGAAAATATCCAAATAACAAAGAAAAATACCTGTCGTGATCATTGAAGATGTCAAGCATCGCGATGGAAGTAACAGTCTCGACGTCCTTTTGATAACGCTCACTGTGAAGAGCACTCGAAATGTCACCAAGACTCGGCCCATTTGGACTGGATCGGACGAGAGCTTGCAACCAGACCGTCTCCATTTCCAGCTCGTAAATCTTGGCGATCTTCCGACCACATTCATCAGATGCTCCTGTGGAGGAGGAGAGTTCCTTCCACAAAACTTCCATATCGATCGGAACTGGCGGCTGGGCAGTCTCAAGGCAATGAAGGACTTGCTCGCCTCCCGACTGAATCCTAATAACATCACGATACTTCTGTCTCTGGTCGACAAGCTGTTGCAACTTGTGAACCTTGAGAATGTTGTCGATCAACAGAACCTTATTGTTGTCGAGGCAACGTCTATCCGTACTTTTATCCATTTTCGTTCGGAGGGCAGGGAATTTGTCTTTGATCTCAACAGTCGGTTGCGTTTCCTTTAGAGCATTAAACTCTTCGAGAATAACATCCCCATCGGGCATTTGGCGAATCAGCGACTCGAGTTGCTCTTTCTCCTTGTGCAGAGCCTCCAGTTTCTTCGACTTGGCCTCATTCTCCGCCGACAAAACACGGTTCTCAATGTCCAATGTCTTCTGCTGACGAGCAAATGCCTCGTCTTTCTTGCCTTCAACTGCCTTTGTAATCACTTCGATTCGGCTTTTGAACTCTTTTTCGAGTTCCACACGAATCTCGGCGGTAAGAGTCTTTTTGTACTCCTCAGAGTACACGTCGTTCCGCAGAGCCTTCTCATAAGCAGCATTTCTCTTCTCCAATTTTGCCTTGAGTTCTTCGATTTCTTCGTCCTTGCTCTGAATAAATGCATGTGTAAAGATAACACAAACTTCTGAAAATAAGTGTTACCTCAAGCAACTCCTTGTTCTGTCTCGACATACTGTCGGTCATCAGTTCAAATTCGACTGACAAGCGCTTGATGCACTCCGCCTGAGTATCTTCGATTTCCTTTTTATGTTGAGTCGACAGCTCCATTATCTTGGCCTCGAGCCCACTTTCCGTGGACTTCCGGCTTTCCAGTTCTATCTCCAGACTCTCCACACTTTCTCCGAGCTCCTTGACACGATTCTTCAGCTTGTCACCGTCATGAATGATGAGTTCAAAATCACGCGGAGCAGTTTGGTGCAGGTACTTGAAGAGTCTCTCGTTGCGAGGGTGGATCGAAGCAACGAGGTTTTGCATCTTGCCAAGTCGCTTCACAGCATCCTCCAGTTGTGTAGTGTGATCCGAAAGTCCGACAAGAATATCCTCAGCAGAATAATCGATCCGCTCGTAGACATCCAGCAATGAGTCAATGCTGTCCGAACTATCGCTCATGGTGGATTGCAATGGAATCTCGTCCTTCTTCTCGATCATCATGGTTTCATAATTATTTCTCTTTACTGGTGTCTCCGGACCCAGTAGAGATGTGTCGGAAGAGACCGCAGATCCAACATGATGAAGGTCTTGAGAACTCATCTGCCGACCAGACTGCTTGAAGTTCGCGCGCGAAGACATTGCATTCGGAATACTAATCGGAGCACTTTGAGGCGCAGGCGAACAAGACATTGGCCCACCCAACCCTTCCAACTGCTGGAGCGATGGTACATAGGGAATTGACCGACATTGCGATTCCCTTAGCACGTAGTCCGGTGACCGACACATAAGCGGCTGGGGTGTTGGCGATGAGTCGCCTCCGTCTTCGCTAAACCAGGCAGCAGGAGAGCAATTGAAGTGAGACCGGGCCATTCGCATCGGTTCATCGGTCAGGAAGCTCTCCACTCGAGTTTGTCCGAATGGCGGATGTTTGACTCCTCTGCAACAAAAATTATAGAATTATCAACACACGTGCAAACTCACTTCGAGGCAAGCTTTCCGCAAACATTAGGCACCGTGACTTTCAAGTACGGCTCCAGCTCTGGCACGGCTTCACGCAGCTCCTTGATGTAATCCTTCGAAATGACAGGCAGGTCGGCGTCGTACTTGGGCAACGGTGACTTGATGAAAAACTCTGGCAAATTGTCAAAAAGTCCTGGGAACAACGCGTGCAGGAAGTGTTTCTTGAGTTTCCGGCCCAGGTGTTCTCGTGTCTTCTCTTCATCGGCACTGAACTGACTGCACTTGTTTGAATGATCCAAATGCCAGTCGTCAAGCTCCGACTTGAGTATTCTGCGACGAACGACTTCCGATACGCTCTGCGAGTAAAGAATCGGTGCGTCTCTGATCTGCCCGATCAAATCCATGTGTATCCGAACAGCATTTCCCTTGTACTCGTACTGCACTATTTCGTTGTGAACAGTTCGAAGACGGTCATAAGATTGAACGACGAATCCAGCCATCCGGGTCCGCAAATTTTTCAGAATTTCTTGTTTCGACTGATCGAATACTTTGACCATGTTGCGAAACTCCACAAAGTTTTCAAAAATGATGCTCATGTATCGTCGATGATCTTCAACAAGTGCGGGCAGCTTGCTTTTATCAATATTTTTCGGGGTTTCGACAATTTGCCCGACAAGCTTATGTACATTATCTTTTCGCTCTGCAAATTAATTATTTTAGATGAACAGCATTATCAGCTAGCACCGTACCTTCACAAGATTTCAAACTAAACTCGAGCTGCGAGAACCGTTTGTTAATGCCCTTGAAGTCTCTGAATTCTTGATTCTTCGACTGCTCATTCACCGTTTCCAGTGTCGAATACACGTTTTTCACATTATGCTCCAAGAGTTGTCGAATCTTCTCATGCACAATATCTGGCAAAGCTTCTAGTGATGCTTCTGGATCTGCACGAGCGATGAAGTCGAACAGAGTGCACTTCTCGTCGGAAGTAATCGGGGCCGTAGTGGATGTCATTAATGAAGCCGGTTTCACAAAGATCTCGGCAGGAACTTCGATCCTCCTCAGCTGCTCGACAACATCCGAATAGTTGAGCAGCAACGGTTCTGACTTTTCGACCAGCTCCTCCATTTTCTGATGCACCGCTTTGAACCGCTTTCCCCGTTTGTCCATCTTGACCACCGAGATGTCCAAGTTGTTGATAAGTGCCAACCATCCCTGAAACACTTATTCTAGTCTTGCCTGGCTTGGAAACCATGTCTACCTTGTGAAGGTATCGGTGCTGTTCCGTGAGAGTTGCGCACGTTTGGAGTGATTCTGAGCAGACTTTCCGGCAGACTTTTGCCCGATCTGGTAGTTCCATGTATACCTTCACAGGATCCTTGTTCTTGAGCACGTACGACGCCTGTTTAACAGTTAATAAAAATCGATCGCAGGGTAATGGTTACCTGCTCGACAGCGTCATCGATCATTTGGAAAATGTAGGTTGCATCGCTGCAGTTGTGATTTTCTCGGTCAGTTCCAGACTTGAGAAAGAGGTAAACGGGAGAAGCCGTCGTTCCAACTTCCGGAAGCTCACACAGGAACTTGTTGCCCTCCGGGGCGATTCCACTCTCGTCCAGAAGGATCTGTATTAACCCAAGTTAGTTGGGGGTTCTAAAATTATGAGCATACCAAGTCAGAGAGTCTATGACAGACTTCCTTGGAAACCATATCCAGTAGAACGTGGAATGTGGTTGTTTCCGCCTGAAACCATAGTTTTCTGATATCCTAAACACTTGCTAAACTTACATTCAAACTGAATATCATACAGTGTCCCCTATCCATGTAGAATATATGATACATTATCATAGTTGAATCTGAAAAAATTCGACTTCAATGAGTTTGTTGTGTTTTCGCGTTGAACAATGGGCTGCTTCCCCAGCGAAAATAATCTGGAAAGAGAGGAGGAGCGAGAGAGTGTACGTTTCGCGGAGATTCTCGTCACCGCGCTGGTGTGCGATGTTGCGTCAATTGTGATGTCTCGACTGCACGTGATGATGGCAGAAGGAGAAATGGGACAACTGAGGGGCCGGATTGCGAGGCAAGGACGGAGGGCTGCGCTCATCGACGCACAACGCTCTCTTCCTCACACACACACACTGCCTGGCACACCGCGATGTGCGCAGTCGCTCACGCTCACGCTCACACGGGTCATCCGCTGAGCCGTCCAAGTCGGAGTCAGTCCGAGAGGATCTGGGGTGTAAAACGAAAAGAGGATAGAGTCGCAAACGATTTCATCATAAACAGGTGTGGCGGCGACCGGGAGGAAAACGAAAAACAGCGGTATCAGGTGGAAGTCTCGGTTTTCAGATGAACGAAAGTGCGGCCATAGTGCAATTAGCAGCAAACCAAAATGAGCGGAAAGGACATTGCATGGGGTTGATATACCTTCTCCTCCACCTCGTCTCAGGCTACTAACCACCCCCTATTAGCCGGAAATAGAACGAAAGAGAGAAAAGAAAGATGATTAAGGTTACGCTCGGTCTTTGGATTCGATTTTTGGTTGAATTTTTCAAAAAAGGAAGGAAGGAAGAAAGATTGACTGCAAATGGTGTATAATGCCGGTAAAAGTTGAAGTGACGAGCGAATAGTTTCAGAGAATAACGCATTAAAGGTAGAGAGACAGAGAAAAAACAGCCCCGCGCAACCTTGATGTGTTGATTCAGATGGTCCGGTCCGCAGATCACTCAACAGTTGTTTTTCGATACTTTCGCGAAATTGCAGAACGAAAACAACTAATTAGTATGGGTTCTGAAGAAAATAGTACTGTTCCTCACGTTATCTTCGGAAATTTCACAATCTTTATTTGGAACACGTTTTTCGCTTTTGTTCAGTGAAAATGAAGGGATTGAGAAGCCTTTCGAGAAAAAAGTATTGTACAACTAAAAAGTGCAAAAAATGGGTCTATAGCTATAATTGTTTTCTACAGGAGACAGAGATCAATAGAAAACGACTAGATGTAGACATTGTTCAAGTGGTAATTGTTTGGAACACCAACGCAAAGTCAAGTGGATTACAAAAACAGTTTAGTTCATCAAACAAAGCAAATTTTGAAAAGCATCTGATCACTGTGAACTTTTTTATGTGCATTTCAAATTTTGATGACGACAAAAAAGGGGAAACAGGGAGTGCCGGTTATCAAATATTGATGAAGGCTCGCGTCAGTCATACTGGTGTCTTTAACTGCTCAAAACCGACATTTTCGACTGCAAACTGTAAAATCAACTCAAAACCGAATGAAGGCAGTCACATACCAACGCACCCTGTGTATCAACAGCCCCCAACATTTCAAGTATCTTATCTGACCTCGGCCCCCATACACACCCAGTAAATATTATTGTTTTGTAAAGACAGTGTTTGCTCTTTTGGATGACATACTGTTCAAATGTGTTTGAGAAAAAGGCAGATAGCAAGAAGAATCATCAGAAAGCAAATAGAATCGAAAAGAGCTCAAGAATTCAGGTGGAAAACGATGCTGTTTTATAATATTCTGATTTTGAAAACATGTTTTATGTTTTGGGACTTTTCATGAATCGTGAGAAAGTTTGAGAAGAAGCAAAGTTCAGATGACTGAAAGTGCAGAGCAGTGCTCGACCACAAATGAGTCAAACTGACAGAGTCCAAGTTGTAAAAGTGGCTGAGAAGTGTTCTATTGTCTTCAAAGCCTTCGAATACAAGACGGAAGAGAAAGAAAACGCTACGTCATCCAATTTTCACTTAATTTTTGGTCTAGCTTGGATTCGCACTTTTAGTGCAACCGGAAATGGAGTAGAACTGAGAAAACTTGAACAACTCGGAAAACATTTTGGGGAGAGAAGTGAAGTAGTACTATGTACACATGGCAAACACAATGATGCGAATTATCATCACGATGATCAGAAGATAGACGATTTCATTCGAATACAATGTAAAATGACGAAAGATCTTGTGAGAGTGAAAGCTTATCAAGACTGGCTCTCAATTGAAGCAGTCAGTTGACTGGCCACTAAATTTTGAGGCGAGATTGATTTCTCCAATGTTGTAGGTGCGAGACGGCGTCTCTCCGTTAGTGATGTACTCGGACGGAATGAGAATTGAGATTTTGCGCACACAAATCTAAAATTAATCAAAAATTGTTCTTTGATCCGATTAGTTCAGCCTCGACTACTAACTCCATCATAATTGCACTTGTGATAAATGTTCAGTTTCGGGTCGATGCTTGTCACTTCCGATTTGGATCCCGACATTTCGAAGGTGCCGTTTTCGCTCGTAAATCTCTCGTCAAGCAGCACGTCGAGAACTGAAAGCGCACACCGCCAAACAGCGATAAATCTTTTGTGGTTCACAACTCACTCGCTTCCTCCTCGTACAGCTTCACTTTTATGTTGCTCGCCGGCTTGTCGTTACACAGAAGTGTTCCGTTGACTGAGATGGATTGAACATCTCCGAGCTCGATGGTTATGCAAAGTGATGTCGATACCAGGAAGGAAACGAAGAGGATGGGGAACATCTTAATGGGAAATGATCGTCGAGATGAGTGAGAACAAAATTTCAAAGTAGAAAAAGTCAAAAGAGTAGGAGGACAAAGAAAAACCAGAAACCACGCCGTCTTTCTTTCTCCTCAAACACTGTAAATTCACTTTACGACAGACACGCCATCACCGTCTTTTATTGACGGAAAGAACAAAAATGAAACTAACTTCTTTCAAACGTTTCAGATCTAGATAGTGAATTGATAATATCGAGGCAGTTCAGCGAACAATCTTTGGCGTCTTCAGTTCATCATGAGGAAGTAAACAGTTTATTGGACGGAAATTTCAAAATGACTAATACAAAAGGATGTCATGAGAATAAATTGATTAGTTGAGACAGTCGGTTGAGTCACCGCTGAACTTGTTGGCCAGGTTGATGATTCCAACATTGAATGTCTTTTCCGGAGTCGCTCCCTCAGTGATGAAGTTGTCCGGAATGGTCAGAGAAGACTTTTGGTAGCAGATTCCCTTGTAGTTGCACTTGTGGTAAATGTTCAGTTTCGGATCGATAGTAGTCACTTCAACCTTATGTCCTTGAAGGGTAAACTCTCCATTCTCATCGGTTGTTCCTTCGGCCAAAAGCACATCGAGAGCTGAAAAAAAAACAAAAAAGTTCTGAAATTCCGTTTCATATGACTACTCACTAGCTTCTTTCTCATATAATTTCACACGGACATGCGCAGCTGCCTCTCCATTACACGTCAACTTCCCGGTCACAGCAACTGACTGGAATTCACTCTTTCTTGTAAATATAGTCTGAATAGTGTATGTTTATACCTGCTCTGAACCAATAAGGCCGAAAAGAAGAGCCGAAGCGCTGGAAATGGTGGCGAACACCAGGAAACAAGTGAGATACTGCATTGTAGAGGAGAGATTGTGTGTGAAGGTGACAAAGTCTTGAACTTTCGTCCACTTTAAATCGCAATCACCCGCGGTAAACACTTTCTATAGGGCGTAACACTTCAATCGGTCAGGCAGTATCTCTTTGTCTCATTCGTGATATGATACTGCCATCCAACTTTCTCTTCTTCTTCTTCATCTTCTTCTTCGTCTTCTTCTTCTTCCGTCACTTTCATTCGATTTGTGTTTGGTATTTGGCAAACACAATAACAGAACTAAATAACAATGAGTGAATGGGTTTATTCCAGAAAAGTTCGAGAAATTCCACATGAGCGGGTGTGTGGCTTTGTGATTTGGACATATTATTGCATCATTTTTTGGGTTTCCTGTCTACGTTTCAAATTAAAATATAAAATAAATTAGTTATGGGAACTGTTGAATCAATCTAAGGAACGAAACTGAGAAAAGAAGAAAAGACAAAAGCTGAAGTAAATGGTTTTAGGGAAAAGGTGAAAGTAAGAGGGGTGACTAATAACCATATCCTTCAGATTGGACGTATGGGTTGGCGGGTGATTGTTGCATGTTTTGTGGTGGGGCACCAGATTGATAGGACTGAGCCGGAGCTGGAGCTCCGCCGACGTGTCCAATTCCTGAAATATTCAAAATTCAAAAGTCTAAGGTAGTGCTAAGACCGACCTGTAGAATCTCCTCCGTATCCGTACCCGTCCTGGACGTCGCTGGAAACCTGTCCAAACTGCTCATCGTAGTTTGGCTCGTGAGCCGCCTGGTTGCCTTCCTCGTAACGACGCCAGGCAAAAAATGCGGCTCCACCCTAGAATGTAACTTAAACGTCTGAATTCAAGTCAAGAATTCGTAATTATTTTTGTTCGGGGTCCTCTTACGCTTCCAAACCCTTCTCAGACCACTCAAAATGCGAGTATCGAATGAAAAACCTTCGCTTTCCGATCGAATTTCACTCGATTCTCCGTTTTCGGACATCACTCATCACATGGGTCTTTCAGTCGACGACACACAGCAAAAAAGTTAGAGTTTCTGTCAGCAGATTCGGTCAGAAGATAACGCACACTCAAAACCTCTTCCCCCCTCCCTCTATGTATGACGCACCCATGCCAAAAAGGAGAGAAGAGCGCTGAGAATTCCGAATTTCGCGTTGTTAGTCTTTATTGGATTTTCGTCGTCTTCGTCGACTTCGAAAGACGATAATTTGGACCAGAATGTGAAAAAGCCGATCAGAAAGATTCCGGTGAATATTCCTGGAAAACATCAAACATCAATTCCATTTATGTATTTTCGTAATCACGGCTAGTACCTGAAACAACGAGATCCGCTAGGACAGCCCGTCGACGAGTCGGAATTGAACTAATTGTGTCCATCTTGGCATCGAGCACGATGAGCGCGATGGCTCCGCACACAGCGAAGAATCCAACGGCCGTGGCGAAGGAGCACGTTGAAGAGCTTTTTCCGTAGAGACACACCTGTCACACAAAATTTATGAATTCGTCACCGAGAAATGCGATACCGGATGAATGGCGTCGCTCGGTTTGTGCCAGCCACCTTTCGACACAGAATACCACAGAATGAGGCCGAATACCTGCAAAGAATTGATTTTTTGTTAGACTCGCGCGAAAAGAATAGAATAGCAAAACAAGTCTGCAACTTTATAACTTTACTCACCAGAGCCGCACAACGGAAAAGAACTGTTGGCTTTTTGAAGAAGGTGTTTTTATCAAAGTTGGCTCCGGCAAGTCCGGCGCCATACGCCCGGACGTTCTCCATTCTGCAAATAACGTGAGATTGGGTAGGGAATCGAGAAATGAGAAAAGAGAGCGAATCCGGATTACTTTTTTGGTTAAAGCATGAAGAATTGGATTAAAAATGGATTTGTCAGTAGTACTAGTAGGAGAAAAGAGAAGAAAAATAAAACGGGGGGAAAGAACAAAAGCCGAAAAGTGGTGGGAGAGCACCCCAAGAAAAGGCGTGTAATCTGGAGCCGTCCCGTCCGTTTGGCCTTTTCTTCCCTCTTATTCTTCTTCTTCTTCTCCTTCTCCTTTTCCTTTCCGACGACTAGTAAGGGGCAGTCAGTGTGCCACACGAATGCTTCTACTTCTAAATGCCATATACACATCCGATGGAGAAAAGAAAGATAGAGACACCCGAGCGAGCGTGGCGAGTCGCGCAAGAGAGTAGACTGGGGACAGCGGAGCCCGCCATTTCTTCATGTGCACAACTTTGCGCAGACGGCCCCTCCCAATGTGGGCACGGGAAAGAAAAAAAGCGCAACGGAGGAAAAAAAAACAGAGGACGAAGAGCGCTGTGAGGGCTTCAACATGAATCGATGGAAAGAAGCACTTTTCAACGGATTTCCTCATCCGGAAGTTTGAAGGCGGAGAGAGCACGGGACACCGCACCACGAGTGGGAAAAAGAAATTGGAGGAGACTAGTGGGGGAGCCCCGAGCTACCTGAGGGATAATTGAACGATTAACGGGAATGGAAGCTTTCCAGGGAGGCAAATTGGAGAATAGAATAGAATTAGACTCTAAATTATTCATTAAAAAGCGGAAAGGAAGGGACGGAATCGAGGTTGGTGGAGAAGGGCGAACCCATGAATATTCAATAACCGTAGTGGATATCAAAAAGTTGGATGAGTCCGTGGGGAGTTCTATACTTTGGCAAGATGGGAGGGGAATCATCAGCACTCTCGGAAAATGAAAAAAAGTTGACTTAACATCAAGTCGGACCCAGCGGAAGAAAGAAAAAATGGAAAAAAACAGAAGAGTTCAGCCAACAGTGTAATCCTTTAATTAGAAGCCCTACGCTGAAATTAGTACTTCATTTTATCCAAAAAAATGCGATCTTATCAAAAATCACCACCCAGAACGAGCCTCGAAATGGCAACAAAGTCCGTGAGAATATTTCTCAAGCACCTGGACTTGTCCCACGCAAACTTTCTAATTCCATTCAAGTGACTGACCGGAGGGCAACCGGACACAAGAATTCCTTCGGAAAATGCAAAAAAACTTGTGCTGTTTTTGTTGTGGCCGGTTGAGTCGTTCCTATTGTTGTCCTCCGATTTCTGAAAGAAAATATAACGTTGTTCTCGGTTACGTTTTTTTTTTGGATTTTCAGAAAAGGTGTCTAAAATGGAATTTTCTCGACAGAACAAGTATCCGTTGGATCGAAAACCAAAAATAAAAACTTCTTTTTTCGGCAGTAATGAGGTACAGACTTAAAAAAATTTTCTTGAAGCTATACAAAAAACAGAGAACATGTTTTCTTAGACCCTTATATGTTATTCATACTGACCGAGGTTACAAATTTTGTGGAAATTCAATTTCCCTGTCCGCAAATTGCAGGAAAACCACTCAATATGCCATTTCCGTTCGCTCCCACTGCAAATTCATCTATTCTTCTTCCCCAACTCCGACTCTTCCCTTTAAGTATCGTCCTTTCTCCCCCTCCCCCATTCAGACCAATAATTATTGTTGTTACCGAATCATAAAGAGATAAGTCCGACCATTTTTGTACCGAAAGTAAATCCGAGACAAGAAAACAAAAAATTATTGTATGCTTTGGTGGAAATCGTCCCGCTCCGCTCCTTGGTATAATCTGCCTTTTCCTCCCCACTTTCACTTTTTGATTATGTTTATCACAGCGGTTCTTGTTTGCTTTTCCACTTTCCACCGACACATTGTCTCAAATTTGCATAGCTCTTTTTAAAATCACTATAGTGCAGGCATCTTTTAGATTTCCGCTTGTTTTTTCGTTTTTTCAAAAAAACGTATATAGGATCTGATTTCAAATTCACGTATGTAACTCAACTCGTACAGCGAACGGATTATTTTGCGATTCCACGATTTCGGAATAAATTATTTCCTTCTTGACCACCCCCAACAGTTTTGGCCGTGTGAACATGTTTCCCAAGAGTTTTCCTGGAATACTCTGTGATTGGAAATTTTTTTGTGATCCGCCCATTTCATCATCTTCTGTTTAGTTTTTTGAGAATGTTTCAAGTCGCTTCATCTTTTTCACTTTTCTCATAACAATTATTATTATCCATCAATTCGAAATGAAATATTTTTAATAGTTTCTCTTGACAACCCCTCTTTTCGCTAATGACCCTGTTTTTTGCGTTTCCATCAAACGGCCACCACGAGCACCACCACAAAAACGGAGAAGAGCCAAACAGAAATCTTCACGTTTTCAATATCCATTGCCACCCTCTGGTACGACGGAATTCTAATCATGCTCTCTTCATTTCATCATGATTTTCATTCTCGCCTTCTTCTGCTTCTGCTTCTTCTTCTTCTTCTTCTTCCTGTGTCTTTTCTGCTTATTTTGACAATCCGTGCCGTTTTGGTGTAGTGTGGTGTTGATGGCGGTGTGACATAGGAAAGATGAAGAAGGCGTTTCATTCATTCATTCCTCATTCATTTACACAATCGCCTCCTTACCCGCCCACGCTATTTACATACTTTCCAGAGCTCTACATAGTATGATTTCTTGTTTTGTGGTTATGTCGGGACTGTAAGTCGGTTTGTGGTCACAGAAATGTATGACTGATAATTAGCTGTGGTCAAAACATCGTTCTCAGCTGGAGAAGTGGAGTTGAAGACAGTTTCTTGTCTCCTAGCTAAGAGACACTACTGAAAGTGTAATCTTTGTTCCATTAAGATGAAAGAATGAAAGCCCCTGACCAAACTACCCCCAAACTGCACCGGAAAGCAAGGGTTCCTCTTCCGTTTACGTGACCTTCACCTGTTTCATTTCACAATCCTCAAACAAATCGGTCGATGTCCTTTCCCTACATTCCCTGAGCACACCTTTTCCTCCCGTTTTCCATTCAAACACTTACTGACTTCACTCGAAGAATTTCATGCTTCTGCGAACCGAAACGGAAATTTGAAAAGTTGGACGAAGAAAAAAATGAAAGAGATAGGAGAAGCAAGCGGTGAACGTGTTGGAAAGAACCTGCCAAACTCTGTGCAAATTTTTTATTTAACTCGATCACACTGATGAGTTTAATGTGAGTTCTGCGCGTGCCGTGCGTCACCGTTTTCTCATCTCCGGAGAAGTTTCTTTCGGGAAGCCCTACGCAAACTCCGACAACTCATTAAGTCACGGTCACCGAGCGAGTGCTTCTGCGTTTGAGGTAGAAATGTACATACAGGCTGTAATTGTGGTGAACGGCTAGTCACTGACTTCCGCGTTTTTGAATTACTTATTAACCTTCCCAAATGTTCTCCTAATTTGGACCGGGCCGACAGGCACTCACGTTTTCATTTTTTTTTCAACAAATTCGTTCAGGTGAAACTTTCGGACCAGAAAAATCTTCCTCCCAGAATCTTGCAAGTCTAATTATTTTCTGTACGCTGGAAGTATTCAGACTGTTTCTTCTGTTCCAGACAGACTGCTAACAAGATTCGATTATATGTAATTGTTCTGGATTTTTTTTTGTTCCTTATCGCTAGAGTCGTGCTTGTTACATTCTTGGATAGTCTGTGTGTCTTCCCTTCTTTTCTTTTTCTGCCCTCCACCTTGTGATCTCTTGTTTTTCAGTTCTTGACGGCACAGTCTCACTATCCTCTTATGTGCTAAAAAAATCTAAAACCGAAAATCTTCCTGGAACAAGCCAAGCCACAAACGTTTTTATTTAAACCGCCGTCACTTTCTTTCGAAATCGTGAGAAACGTAACAAACCAAAGTTTGTACTGAAGGACACACTTACAAAACTCTAAATCAAGATGGAGCCGGTGTCCTGGCACCGCCTCTGACGGAGAAAAAGAGAGAGAGAACCCCTTCACTTGTAGTCCTTACACATTTTCAAGAAGAAGTGGCACTCTGTTCAGTTTTTTGTGTGTTCACAAATGGGTGTCAGGTCCAGAGTCCATTCTCCGTTTTTTTTTTGCGACAAATCATTCCTGGTTCCTTTTGTCGTTTCGATGGCGTGAATGGAATGTGCGAACAAGTGGCCTCTGCAGGGAGGAAAGAGCACACGCAATTATTTTCGCACGCGCAAAGCTCAGGAGGGGTGGCCTCAGGAGACAGACGTTGAAAAAAGTTCAGCATCAATCTGGCTTCTAGCCTTTAATATCATTATCACACGGAGTCGTTTAATCTCAAAGACAGCACATTTTAGGAATTATTGTGGTCAAGATCTTAGCTAAATCTGTTGCGTTTCTTGAACTCGAGTCCAGAATATGATTAGATTTTCCCTTCTATCTTGTCCTTGTCTTGTTTTCTTCAATTATTGTAAATATAGTAGTGGTCACTCCGAGTAATCGAGTGATTCAATCAAAACTGCAACTTTTTCTAATCAACTTTACACCTAACCTACTTCTCTGGTCAAAATCTGTTATTGGAGAAGGTGCACCCCTTTCGAATATGTTTCCTGCTTTTGCTACTGCATTTGCATCCCTCTCCCTTGACCAGCTTGTTATTATTATTATTATTATTCGACCCTCCTCTTTGGAACAACAAAGAGTTCATTATTCATGGGATGCTCCGTACTTTTGCTCGGGGCATGTTGTGTATACAATTTAGATTATTACATGTAAACTATATAAAACATATGTTTCCGGTCAGGCCGCCCTCCTTTTTTGCATTCCCATTCTTAGGGCGCTGCTTCCTCTTTTCTTTCCTTCCACTATGTTTGTTTCAAGAACACAAAGCACGAGTTTCCTTGTTTTCCTGGTCCTTTCCCTTTCACATCTACCGTAGTCCTGAGTCCGGAGTCCTGACGCGTCCTGACCTGCCCATAATATCACATTGTCTAGGTCTACATCATTTTTCTTTTCCTAAAATGTGTCTTTCTTCAAAAACGCAGAAACCTTGCAAGAAACGTGAGAGGTCAAAAGTTGCGCACGTGGTCCCAAAATGTGACCATAGCGCGTGGACCTTTTAGAACTTTCAAATAGAGCGGCGCTACCGGAAATTGGTAATCCGGCTGGACCGAGACCATGTGATATTGCTCTGTTGTTTGTGGGCCATTCCGAGCTTTCCACAATTCATGATCTGTGGGAACATCTGTCTGCCGCCCACTTTAAAAACTCAAAACAACATTTCCCCATTGATGAGATGGCATGCCAGGTGAGGGTCAAAATAAATGAGATTCGCCCATGTGTTCCCTTCCACTTTCATATCGTATTTCGCCGAGGGGGTTGGGTGCTCTTTCAATATTGTGCTTGTTCGACTTCGATTTCGATTCAAACATCTTTTTGTTTCTCCCCCGCTCTCTTTTTTTCCGCTCACACATTCCGCATGCAGACCATGTTTCAGTACTTCTCAAAAGTCGACGTATCCTTTTTCAACGACGTTTCTGATGGAGAAAAGAATGGCAAAAAAGTTCTCTTCTTCTGTTTATTCCCTTTATTTCTCCTTCAAGCACAAGTCTTTTTTTTTCATTTCTTCTGATGGTCCATTCTCTTGTGACATTGACATTCAAACTTTACTCTTTCTTTCTCCTTTGAGCGTTTCAACTCACCAACTCACATGATTAACCCTTGAATGCATTCGTCCTCTTAAAGTCACCGTCTGTGTAGTACAGAAAACGCTTCAGCTTGCTCTAAAAATGGGAAGAAGAACACGCCCTTCCGCCTTCTCATTTATCCAAGTTTCCCTTCCGCTCTGTGATTCCTCGTATCTCGTACTAATATTCGTATTTTTATTGAAAGAGACATGCTTTCAGGGAAAAGGATATGTCACTCTTGATGTAATCATGAACCACACTGACGAACAATCGTCGTTTACCCTTGAAACCGATCCGGTAGGTCCTTACCTATAAATTTGTTCTTCACTATTCCGATTGTATTTTGTAGATCAAAAACACGGCCCATATAATATGGAGTCTGACTGCACTCATTGGAATTCCTGCCAACATCTTTGTGCTCGCCGCCATTGTCTATTTCCGGTAAGTCTGTGGGTGGAAAACAGAGCATTATAACAGGAAACCGAACGGATACTCAATCGGAAATGCGTTTCAAATTTCGCGAGTAGACTTTATCAGAAATTCCGTCGAGATAGGAACATAACATACGCTTCAAAGAATTCCGAAAATCATCCGAATTTCCGCTATGATCTCTGGCCATGCAATCTGGGATTGAGTTTTTAGGGATATGCGAACAATCTCGAACATTTACATCTTCAACCTGGCCGTCGCTGATCTCCTCTTCTTGTGCGGGATCCCAGTGGCCACATTCGGCCAGTCGTCAGAAGATGGATGGATCTTAGGACGGATTATGTGCAAATTGTATTTATCTGGAATCGCGGTACTTGAAATCTAACAGCTAGCCTATCTAAAAAACGCGTTTCTCAGATTTCCCAGTTCGCATCGGCGGTTTTCATTGCGGTTCTGTCTTTTGACCGCTATTTAGCTGTGTGTCGTCCGATTCAATCGGCATCTTTCCGGACCACACAAGCAGCCGTGGTCCTTTCCGTTGCCGCCTGGATCATGGTCATTCTGGAAATGACCCCGTTACTTCTGTTCGTGAAACTTATCAAGATGCATTCACGTAACTTCCAACGCCTATTAAAATAAGTATTAGTTGGTTTTCAGAAGGACATGTCAGACAGTCATGCATAATGTTTGTTGGAAATGTGACTGCGCTGGACTCGGGTGAAACACTCAACGATACCGTCATGAATGAGATTGAGAGCAATATGTTGGCTTCGAGAAGGTACGACAATAAATCTGAACAATTTGAGAGAAAACCAGAAACGAATAATATTTTACGACCTTTTGAAAGTTTTGAAGTGCAATAAATCTTCCACGGGAAAAGTGCCTAAGACTCAGATTCTTCTCCTGTGTCCAAAAGAAAGGGACTATTTCAGATTCTTCACAAGTTACACGTTCGCTCTATCATATCTCATTCCACTGATAGCCGTCTGGTACTTTTATTTCAAAATCATTCTGAAAATGTGCCAAAGGAAGCGTCAAATGCACACGAAACGAACGGCGACGAAACGGAGAACTACTAAAGTACGTGCTGGATTTCAGTGAAAATCCAGTTCTCCCAATAATACGTCACTTTTATTGGTGGCTTTCAGGTGACTATTATGGGTCTCGCCATTGTCATCTCATACACACACTGCTGGCTGCCGTTCTGGATGATTCAGTGGGCGCTCGAATTGAATCTGTTCAAGGGGTGAGGACTTCCAGCCGGGTGGACACTATGTCAGAAGTAGAAAGTCCGCGTGACACGAGGCCTCTGTCTAATGAAATTCCGGAGTTCAAATTTCCACTTCTACACAGAGTCAGCTCACAGCTCATTAGGAATAGGAACTTTTTGAATGCAAAAAGCGGAGGGGGATGGAGTAGACATGAACTGCTAACAAGCAGACGGACTTAGAGACTACTGTAGATTCATTCAAAAGCGTCCTTCAACCAACCAAGTGTTCTTACAGTAGTAGCTACTTACTCTTCTGCCTCGTCCACTTTGCGTTCGCACTGCAATACATCAATTCTGCTGCCAATCCATTCCTCTACGTCTTTCTTTCAGATTCATTCCAGAAAAATGTGAGTTTAAGATTCTGTTCCGTTCAGAGTTTAGAATTCAAATTACAGATGCAAAAGCTTCTGAAAACCGCAAAACCGGATAAGCAGGTAATGCTCAAAAACTCCAACAACGAGCCGCTGGACACTTCCAAAATGCTCAACGTCACATCGAATCCATTATGCTCTTCGGCGACTAATTCTCATTACAGTTGCTAACTACTTGTGATTCTAGAGCAAAATTTCTAAAACATCGATCATCTCCCACACTCTCAAAGTTTTTTTTTTCCGTTATTAACTGAGTTTACCGACTTGCAACGATGCGCATTCTCATTGGTATCAATCATTTGGCATAACACTTTAGTCGGCCATAACAGCATATCCTGAATGGTATACGGTAGCATTATATTTTTAAATTAAACGTAGTAACTCAAACTGTACATAGCACAAGTTCTGGTTCCCACCGGTCGTCCCTTATTTTTGAGAATTGCTTTTTCGTTGCCTCACATTCCGCTACGTATTTGTCAACTGAATAAAGTATTGCATCTGTAAAGTGTGATCGGGTTTCCATTTCTCATTCATATGACAGGCCCTGGCTTTTCAAAAGAATTTTTGACTCAGTTGAAATCTTCGGATCGGTCCCAAACTTCACATGGCTTCCAGACTTGAATTAAAGTGAATTAGGTCAATGTTTTACATTGATGGCATAATTTATTCTGTAGATATGAAAATAGATGACGAGAGTGCTGCCCTCTTCTCTCATTTTCCAGAGTGAAAGGTCTGAAACGTGAACCCAAGATACTTCAACTCAAATCCAAGAAGCCTGCAAAGTTTAGGCCCGACAACATGATCACACGTAGCCTGGAACGACCATTTACCCAGGCCTGGTGCCCAGAGACTATCTAAAACTCGAACCCCAGCTATTGGTATTGAGTTCTGCAAAACATTCCGTACAGTTTTGCGGTCCGTACAAGTGTACACTTGTTCATCACATCAACTGTACACCTGACAAACATGAACTTTCCAATGTATTCGACTCATCGTTCCGTCTCGTACAGTCACCAATAACAATCACGAATCGTAGTTTGTTTTGAGAAAAAACATTACACATGTGTGTTTCAATAACAATGCATTTATTCGGATTTGAATTCAAGCAGACATCTTCATTATGTTCCATACCCGGGAAGCTATTACTAACCCAAGAAAGTCTCGCTGAACATTGATGCATTGACGCGTTCTTCCGGAAAAGGGAGAACACCAATGAGCAATGTTGCCTCGAGAAAGGCTTGGGTGAGACATGCAAAATAGACCATTTTCTGAGGGATCACAACATTCCGACTGTTTTCTGGTCCGTTCCGAGATGACCATTCAGAAAATCGACTAGTGAAGAATGTCGGTACGCCATCCGATTTCCGGTGGAAAGTACGTGTGTGTCACCTGATACTGCACTTGCCATCGATAACCGTCACCGTATCATGCGATTACAATAACATTGGGGAAGAGTGGACGTGAGATTACAACAAGACAGAATAGAAAGTCCGGTGAAGAGAGGAAGAAGGTGAAAAAGTGTTCAACCGTACGTGTCTACCGTAGAATAGACCCATATCTATAGGTTCGGACTATATCAAGGTTCCAGGTTTTTCCGTAATTGTTCGTGAGACACATCAAATTAAAACTCTATAAGGTCTAATGTCGGTTTGTGCTATCAAAAGTTTAAAATACTGGGAGAGACGAGACAATTTCCGAGTTGGTCGATGACGTCATTCTCTGCCGCTCCGGAAGACGAGGCCCCAATAGTGGTCTGATGTTGAAAGCCGTGAGATGATTCGAATGACAAAACATTAAACCAGCATCTGAAAATAGAACATTTCCACACACATTTCGCAATAAACACGACCCACCATGAGTTTTTAATCCGTAGTGACGAGGTGTTGTTGCCCAGAAGTGGTGGTCAGATGACAGTTTACCAATCCATTCCTTTTCCGGATTATTTTTGGCCAATATACCCTGTAAAATAGTACAGTTTAAGAAGAGCAAAAAAAAAGCGGAGAGTGTTCAAATAGAAAGCGAACAAAGTTGTGATGGAGAGACAGCTACAACGTAAATAGTGCAAAAAACGACGCGTTTTTCTCCTGTCAAACAGCCAGCAAGTCAAGAAAAAGGAGTAACCGAACGGCGGTTGGAGAAGAGAGGAATAGAACGAGCGGAATCGAAACGACCGGAAAAGGAAAGGAAAGGAAAGGAAAGCATGTCGGTTGTGAAGAAACATTGCGTCGAGAAGAGACGTTGCGAAGAGCGAAGAGAGGGAAGAGCGACCGAACGTGGTGGGGTGGTGTGCTTTTGATGTCTGCGCGCCCTCCGGCTCCCCCACGCTGTCTCGCTACCGGCCAACCAGCTGCCCGCTCTCTCCTACCGGCGACGAGAGAGCAGGCAAATGTGGGAGACGCAGAGCAGAAGCGAGAGATGAGTTGTTAGCACGGCAGACTGCAAGAGGCCCCGCATTCCGTCCTCGGACGACCACCACAATAACATTGATCGCGTCGCGTTGCGCACAGAATGCGAGAAAATAGTGGATGAAGATGAAGAAGAGGGGCATCTGTGTGTATGCGAGTGAAGGAGCGAGTGAGTGGGCGTCCAGTACTTCGAAACGAAGCGCTGGAAGCTTTCCACTCTTCTCTCTATACCCTCTCGCGCTCTCGCCCTTTCATCTCACATGATGAGCGAACGAGAGAGAGAGAGAAAGAGGGGAAAATGGGGATAGAGTGTTATGAGTGAACAGAGAATAAATTGGAAACGGCCGAGCTTTCTGGACGTTTTGATGCAATCAGAAATGAGTGAAGGATTGGAATGGATGGGAGGGGAAACCCGAATAAAATGGAAAGGATGAAGAAAGGGAAAGTTTATCTGGTGAAAGTGCGGAACAAAGAATCCACGATCCGAGTACATTGACACAGATCTCTCCACTAATCTTCAGGATGGCCCATTGATGAATTCTCCCTGAAACGGACGACCGTATTGTGTTGTATTGTCCTTGCAAAGATTGAGACGATAGCAACGGGCGAGTTAAACAGAAAAGGAAACACTTTTCTTGAATGGAAACATTGGTTTTAAAGCGGAAATCGTGATGTTGTTGCGTTGTAAAACAAAGTGTAACTTTCGCCAAAAAAAGCAATCGGAAGTGAGTTATTTTTGTAATGAGAAGAGAAAAAAGTTAAGAGGCAACATGAAGAATGAAGAATGAAGAAGAGAAATGACTTCATCTTGAAAGGATTCCATGATCAGGTGACAGGACTGAATTGGCTGAAAAGGGGAGTAAAGACCAGAGTTCACTCGACTGGTTTTCCTATCAATTTGCGAGCCCATAGGGCAACGTCTGTCAGGTATTATCGGAAATCGACAAAACATTGTGGAATTTGATTCTGCGTCGGGCGCAAGTACAAGAACAGAAACTAGAAATCATCAAAAAAGGAAGGAGAAAATAGTTTTTTGATCAAAGTTCTTCGACGTCGTCTTTGTCGTTTGAACCAAAGAGAAAACTTCGAATCGCCATAATCATTTCAATAATTGTATTTTTGGACTAAATAAGACTGGGAGACTGGGGACTTGGAGAAGACAATTGCATTTTAGAAAAACTTGCGGAACAACTTTTTTAGCAAGCAGTTTAATAGTATAAAGTGATCACTGAAAACGTTTAAAACAGTACGCTCATTTAGTTTTGGTGCGCTTTTTTGGTTTCAACTCGATTCCTCAATTAGGAAGTCAATTAGGAAGAACTTCTCACGAAAACCACTTCCTATTGCGGGTAACCATTTCAGACTATTTATTGTCTCTATCCGGCTTCCATTCAAACAAAATTTATTACCCTCACTTGAGCCTTTCCCCCATCTAACGCTCACCCCACACATGAGCTCTCGCTCGGATCACTTTGTGGTGAAAGTTCACGTGAAAGCGCAACGGATGGCACCAATCACCCCGTTGTTTTCTTCGTTTGTTCTTTGAGCATTTTGCGTAACATTGCAAATGAAATGCGAGTCTGGCCCAGAGAACCTCTTCAACCAGCGCTTGTTTTCATACTATCATTTTGAAATCGAACTCACATTCAGCATGTCGTGTTCGTTTAGCTTTGTTCTCAGTTCCTTTGCTTTGGCCTTGTCGACAATTTCCAAAGATGTTGCGCATAGTATCGTTGAACAAACACCGAAGGACAACTTTACCCAAGTATAAACAAGACGTTTTCCCATGATCGCACAAAAAAGAAACGAAACGTTTCTTATCGACCTTCAAAACCATTTTACTCCCAAAGTCCGCTAAGACCTTTAAAAAGCCGCATCTATCAGTCATTATAACGAGACGAAAACGGAATGTTATTTATGGCCGAAACAGGTCTTGGGCCTAACCTTCATCCTCAACCCAGTTCGTCGAAAACTGGGAGAGATAACATCACATGATTTTTCCCGTATCGTTCAGTTTAATTTACTAATTTTGAAAGTGTTCTGATTGAAATTTAAACCCCTATAAACTCAGTGATATTCTCTAACTTTCTTATTTTTCGCAAGGGCACCACATTTTACTGACCAAATGGCACTCGGTTAGTGTTTGATATGTTTGCTCATTGGTGCTCAGCGAGTGGCTCAATGGAGCGCATTTGCATTGTTCTTTTGCTGAGCGTCCACCGACCGGACACTTCTCGAATGTTCTCCGCCAAAATCGGTTACTTTTTGAAACGAATTGTTTCGTTTCACATTTTCCATATTCTGTTCTCCACATTTCCATAAAGAGTGCTTATCATTTAGTTTAGTCATGTGAGTATCATTTGGTTTGTTGTTCAAAAATTATGATAATTCTCTCGGGCTCTTCACACTTTTTCCATTAACGTCAACGTCACAAAAGCAAAAGAGCAAAATGGCTGTTCTCACTTTTAAAAGCGGCGTTGGGCAGAACAGGCTGTCAGGGCTCATTCTGTTACACATTTGTCTCCTGCCCCTGCCTGCCTTGTTGATATCATTCGTCTCCGTGCTGTTTGTCTCCTTGTTTTCTCTCCTCACCTCTTCTTATTTATTAAATATGGTAAATATATGTGTCCGTTTTGCAGAAAATCGATGAGCAAAACCGCGCATTCAAATGAGGGAGACACCACCAATGAGAACTGTAAAACGGATGGACAAACGGCCGGGATGGTTACACCCGAAGTTGTGTTCACATTGAACGGAGCGCCCGAGGTAGTTTCGGTTTTGGTTCTGCTCCTGATTCGCCTATAAAAACGAGTTTTCAGAACACGCATCAACCTCCTGTGAAAATGGACCCATTCGATCGGTCAAAGTGTGAAGGAGACATTTACCAAGACACTGTCCAGGTTTGAATTCACTTAAAGTGTTTATAAAAAAAACAACATAAATTTGCAGAGATGTCATAAGATTCTGGAAAAACTTGGATGCCCGTTCACTTTGACGGGCGCTACCGATTTCGATGAAAGCGACGATTTGACCGAGGGAGAGGACCATGATGACGTGGATATCACCGATGACGATGGAATTCCCAAGAATGAGAGGATTGTCGAGACAAGGAAGATGAACTGCACCACCGGTCAACTGGATGCTCCGCGAGTCGCCGAGAGGCCACGGGCAACAACTCCATCGCGAAACAACTCGGATCATTCGGAGGAACCGTCCGAGTCGTTCAGAGTTCTCGAGTACTCTATCCGAACATGTCACACGATCTGGAAGAAGCGTCAGAAGAACTCGGAGATCGCGTTGAAAGTCTGTTTTCTGCTTATTTTTGTCTCGCACCTATTGAATCTTTTGATTTCAGGGTCTCATGATGGTTCTTGAACTTTGTCTCTCGCAGCCATCCACCAGTGATGAAATCTTTTCATGCCTCTTGGAAACTCTTGGCTACAACACGGTAGGGGTGATAACAACTTTGTGCCCCGGCGCAGTGTCAGCTGTCCGAGCGCCAGCCACAACATACAACACGAAGACAAAAAATAGAACTTTGGTGCAATTTCTGTTTTCAGGTTACTTTCTGGAAATCAGTGGTTCCTCAGATCTACAATTCTGACTTGACATACGCAACACAGTACAGAGAAGCTCTCCTGTTCTCTTTGGTACTGTACGATGTGAACTACAGTAAGAATAGACTTCGTGAGCTTTATGCTGCGGTACCGGGAGTACGACAGAGCATGCTGGGCATCAGGGCGAAACAGTTCGGGGAGAGATTCCGGCATCTTCAGATGAAAGTGAGCAATCGTGAACATTCTGAAACAAACAGTTCATGTTTTCAGATAGCCCGATCCCGTGCTAGTTCGAGGATGTCCTCAAAGATTGGGTCCGAAGAGAATCTCGAGTCCATTGCGTCTTTGGTCAATGATACTGTTTTTGATGAAGAACCAATTCATATCGGTGGACAAATGCCGCTGGTCGACATGTCGCACGACAAGGTACACAAAACCCCGTGGTCGGACGGTGTTTGTACTTTTTTTTCAGCAACGAGTCATCAATGTTTCCAACGCGCCACCAGTATCCATTAGCAGAAAGTCCAGTGGTTCCTGGGAAATCAAACAAGGATCCGGAGGACTGGTGGCTTGTGTGGATCCGGTTATGTCGGCAGATAAGAAGAATATCTGGCTGTCAAACCTCGGAGTGAATATGCAAGAGGAGCTTACGGTATAAAAATATCTAAAGAAAATACCTGGATGAAAACACTTTCAGGAGCATTCTACTAGCACCAACTCCATCGGACTTCCTCTTATCAAACAAGCCTGTGCTGGAGAAGTTTTCTGTGTTTTGGAACGCACCGATAAGAAGAAAGAACTGACTCCGAAAGAGCAAGCAGTCGAGTAAATCTACTCATTCTTAAAACTGTAGTAATTCGACGTTTTTCAGAAGTGACATGTCTCTTCTTTCTGTTCTCAACACTTACAACAAACACAGCTACCAACTCAATCCAGTGGTTGTGAACCAAGTGAGAATTGCTAGGATAACTCAAAACCACGTCATCTGAGCTTTTCAGGATGACTACAACACCTACTACGGTGGAATCAGCAACGGATTGTTGTGGCCAGCTCTTCATAACTTGCCACAGTACATTTCACCTTGTTACGATGATCCAGCGTTGCTCCGTGAGCAATGGTGCTCGTATGTGCGTGTGAACTACCTGTTTGCGATCAATGCTGCCAGAAACAGTCGTGCACAGGACTTCATTTGGATTCACGACTACCATCTCATGCTTTGCGGACAGATTATGCGGTCTCTGGAGTCGAGCCTTGATGTAAGGACTCTCTTTTGACAAGGACTCTTCCTGAGCGCCCAACTTCAGATCGGCTTCTTCCTTCACATTCCGTTCCAACCACCAGCAAACTTCATGACCAAATACAAGACTGTGGCCGATCCAATCATCCGTGCACTTCTCCGCTTCACTAAAGTCGGCTTCCAAACCAGTCGCGACCGTGAAACTTTTGTGAAACTTGTCGCTGATAACATCAGAAAGACGAAAATCGAGTATGACAGTCGTCTTGATCGCTTTACTATCGAACACGATGTGAGTGTTCTAATTGAAAACCGTGTCGACAGAAACTTTTTTCAGGGATTCACATGTTCGCTTGGAGTGTTTCCAGTTTCAATCAAAATTGCCGACTTCACCAATATCGCCACGAATCCACAGACAATCATTGAAGCGGACGAAATCAAGAAAAATGTCAGCAAAACCATCAGACTGAATGTAGTTATTATTTTCAGATCATGAGCAAATCGGCGCCAGGCGGACAACTGTTCTTCTCTGTGGAAAGATTCGACTACACCAAAGGAATCATGGAAAAACTGCGTGCCTGGAAAAGATACTTCGAGAAGTATCCAGACCGAATCGGCAAAGACGTCCTCTTCCAAGTCGCTGTGACCAACCGAAGATCTGTGGATTCTTACAGACAATACCAAGATGACGTGTTGGCCTTGACGGACTTGATTAACTTAACGTTTAAAAGTGAACAATATCCAGAATGGAAACCAATTAAATTCGAAACTGACGGCCTGACGAGAACCCGATTGATCGGGCATTATCTAGCTATGGACATTGGAGTTGTCACTCCTTCAAAGGATGGAATGAATTTGGTGGCGAAGGAAATGCTCGTCTGCAATCCAACTGCCTCTCTCGTGTTGTCCACCGGAGCCGGGACAGAAGTACAGCTGAGCAATGCTGACTTTTACTCGGATAACACTGGAAAGTGCTACCATCGTGTTGAGGATATTGCTGACACTGAGGCATTTGCGGAAACTTTCTTCGCAGCAGCAACTGAAACCAAAGACGTTCGAAATGAGCATGGTTCGAAAATCAATCAGTTCCTGTGTGTGCATGACATTGACGAGTGGAGCGATCAGTTCTTGGACCCCAAGTGGACGCATGAAGTTATCAGCAAGACTGAGGTATGTTTTAGATCACAAAAGATTGTTTTACGATTGGAAAGTTACAGATAAAGCAACTTGGACAATTTTATCGTCTCATGGGCCGCACTGCTCAAGTTCGTCGGCAAATTGTAGAATGTGTACTGAAAGGACTTCCAATCAGGCCTCACTTCATGTATTCGCTCGAAAATGCATTGGTATGAATCGAAAAAAGCGTTTGCTTAGAAGAATGAAATTGAAACGTTTTCAGGATTCACTGAAAACGTCGTGCAGGGAAGGTGACAAGCTAACACTGCGAGCAGATGACGATTCAGGAGAAGAGACAGGATTTGAGATCACTTACGATATCCGCGACGAGATTGAGGAACTCGACAAGGATCTCGCTTTCCTCACGTTCATCCAATCGGATGAATATGAGAATGCCGAGGAATTCATTAACGTATTAAACTTGTCGAGAGAATACTCAAAACGATCGATTTACAGAAGCTGGGCTCGTTTTACTCGGGAGGACCGAGCAGTTTCAAAACGGAAGTCAAACAGGCCGCTGACATGCTTCAACAAGGAATTCATTATAACACGTTCTTTACTGATCGGTCAGTCTGAAGGACCTCTTCTGAAATTTTCTCAAACAAAAGGTCTTCTTTTCAGCGATGGAACATTGAAGAGCTACTCTTGTTCCTACCCGACCAGCGTTCAGCCGGCTTATTCGGCAGTCATCCAGGCTCAGTTTGCCCGCCGTTGTGCAACATTCTGTGCAATTGTCACAACAGCGCCTCTATTCCGTATCGGAATTTTGGATGTCGCCACGATTCCGGAGGGATACTACGCCTATGGTGCGTCGGCTGGAAGAGAATGGTATCTGAACCCAGCACAGCAGTTCAAAGACCGATCCTACTCTGTCAATGACTTGAACCTCATGAACAAAATATTTGAAATGGTGAGTTCGCTCTGCATTGTACAACAATAGCTGCGTGTTAAGATCGAGGAAACTCTCGAAAAACCTGCATTCCGGATATTCAAATGGATCGGAAGTGGAATTCAAAAACATTGTGGACACATCACGATTGCAAAACAGAATATTCACGGATCTATTTCTGAGCGCAAGATTGGAGAGTTACACGAGCAGCTTGTGAAGATCGTCAACGATTTCGATCCGACCGGTGTCAAACTGACTATGAGAGAGTCTGATCTGGACTTCAAAATTTACGTGAAGGTCCGTTTTGAGGTTGAAAATAGTATTCAGATTAAAAAGTTACTGATAAGAAAGTTTTCAGGCCAAACTGAAAGGACGCATTTTCAACAAGGGACACGGAATGCGACTTGTGATCGAGCGACTGAAACCGAATATGTCAAATGGAAATTGCTTGGTTTGCGGTGACAACGAATCGGATATTCCGATGCTAGAAGAATGTCTGAAACGTGTCGGATCGAAAGTTTACACCATCTGGGTGACTTCTGACAAATTTCTTCAAGAGACAGTGAGCAGATCTTTCTTGATTGTGATTTGATAATTTTCTAAATTCAGGTCACGAAGCTCTGTGAGAGTTACAGCTGCTTCAACATCCACTTCGTCTCGTGCCCACAGGTTCTTCTGGGCGCCATGGCCTATGCTACCGCTCACACTTTGACCGACGAGAAGAACCGGTCATTCTACTATGACTCGGACACTCCGATGGACGAGGATGAGCTTGAACACTGAATATTAGCAGTATAATTTTACAAAAACAGTATTAATCATGCTACATATTAAGTCGAATCCCTCTTTGTTTAACAATCCCGGCAACTTAAAATTTTCTGCCGGTTTTTTGATGAAAATCATCCAGTTCCACCTCCGTAATTTACTTGTTAATTACCCTTTCCACAGCTTGTTCCCTTGCTTTTAGCGTATTAACCCAGTTGAATGTTCTCTGTGAGAAATGAACGTATCCGATCCCGCGCTTTTCGCGGTCACTATGACAATGTCTGCAATTTCCTAATAAATGTACGTGCACATCCTCTTATTGGTATTACGACTCGAAATTTTATACAACTGCTCTCTGTGCCATGTGCCGACAGAATTACTAATGAGAGCTCCATTAGAGGGAAGAGCTTCTCATGGGCGGGCATAACAACAATTTTTGGGGCTGTGCTCTCGTATTTTTCCAGTTAGAATTGCAGTCAGTGAGCCGGCGCGAGGGGCCGTTTCGTCTCGAAGCCAAAATCGATATAAGGCGGCAGCTGAGAGAGAGAGAGAGAGGAGGCCGTGCACATTCCAAAAAAGAAGCCGTTGGCTCATTTGAAAGGCGATGGCCGATGCCGTTGAAGCGCTCCCGGCGCCACCAGTAAGGACCCTGCCGTATGGAACTTCCGAGACTATCGACGGTAAGTAATTTTCTTTATTTGAAAAAGTGGACCTCTTTCCGCCCACACGCGACGCACAGAGCGTCGTGTTGATACTGTTTTCCTTACTGCGTCTCCCCTCCCGGTCTTTCTCTCGCTCACCTTTTCCGTCAAACTGTCTTGTGCTGACGTTCTAACCCTCTCGATCCATATATGACAAACAACACGCATGTATCGGATTGTGAGCCAGAATGAACAGGACCCAGACGGCAGTGATAAGGAAGCGGAGCCGGAGAGACGAGTAAAAGGTAAAACTGCTTTTTTTCCTTAATTTTTGTCAATTTTCTTACTCGAAAAGTGTTTCAGATGATGAATCGCTGGATGCGAAACGGTGGAAGCGACGTCATGTCGTCGCAATCTTGGCTTTGCTCGGATTTGCCAATATTTACGCGATGCGCGCCAATTTGAGCATTGCCATCGTTGAAATGACTGCTGGAGCCGATAGAAAAATCAACGGGACATTTCAGCATGTAAGTCGTTTCGTGAAACGTTTTCTGGTTGATTCCTGATGACTTTATGATTTGATTACATATCTATCAACTCGTTAGTAGTGAAGTGTCGCAGAAATGAGAGTAAAACGGATTAGGAAAGTACTTTCACACAAATTCACTTCTGAATTCTTAGAAAAATAGAAAAAAAAACAAAATTCTGTCACAACAATAACACCCATTCATTCAGATCCCTGGAGACTTTGAGAACTGGTCTCCGATGACGCAAGGAGTGGTGCTCAGCTCGTTCTTCTACGGCTACATCATTTCTCAACTACCCGGAGGATATTTGGCTTATACCCATGGCGCGAAGACCGTCTTCTTTGCAGGCACATTTGGTGAGTCATTAACTCCCTCTCTCATTTCCAATCCTTCTTATCCATTCAGGCACCGCCGTTTTCACGCTGCTCACGCCGCCATTTGCTCGTCTCGGCTACGGAATGCTCGTTTTTGCCAGATTTATGGAGGGACTGCTGGAAGGGGTCACTTATCCGGCGATGCATGTCGTCTGGAGCCGTTGGGCACCACCGTTGGAGCAGACGAAACTGGCTACATTCGCCTTTTCGGGGTACGAAATTCTGTCGATAACATTACACAAAACAATGTTTTCAGATCATACTTCGGAACCGTTTTGGCAATGCCCGTGTCGGCGTATTTGGGAGAGCACTTTGGATGGCCAATGATCTTCTGGTTCTTTGGTAATAAAAGTGTATTAATAATATATACTTGTGACGGGCCGGGTTGAAACTTGAACTTCTTCTGGCACGACCTATTGCAAGTCTGGTATATATAATTTAGTAAGATTGTTCCAGGAACCCTTGGGGTCATTTGGTGCACAATCTGGCACAAAACCGTCCATGATCGCCCCGAAGACGACCCGAAAATCTCGGCATCCGAGCTCGCATTACTGCAGCGGGACGCCTTTAGTCAGAGCCATTATGTGAGTTGGCGGGTGCCGAAAAACGCCTTTTTGTTACACATACACACACTCACACAAGTGAAGGCACTTTTCGCTCGACTCGCGAGAACAGAACACACATGCGAGAAGAAGCAGAGAAAAATGAATTCCTAGCGGAGAGAGATTGAAAAAGAGCAATTTGGATACCGGAAGTAGTGTTTCAGATGGTTCCATGGGGTCAAATCCTGCGCTCCAAGCCCGTGTGGGCGGTGATCATTGCTCATAGTGCACAGAACTTGGGCTTCTACATAATGCTCACGAATCTGCCGAGAATGTTGAGGGATATCGCTGGATATAACCTGGAAAAGGTAAACTCGTGAGGAAATCTGGACTGTTTGGAAAGTTGTGTTTAGGCTGGACTTGCCAGTAGCTTGCCGTACCTTCTGATGGGATTCCAAATCATCACTGGCGGACAACTGTGCGACTACCTGAGGAAAAACAAGCACTACGACACACTTTTCGTACGCAAAATGGCTTGTGTTCTTGGTAATTAACGCTGCGGCTATTTTGGTAGAATTATGTACAAATATTCAGGATTCGTGGGACAGTCTTTGTTCTTGATCCTCGTTATGCTGACTTCCAACTCGCTTCTCCTGGTGCTCTTTTTCTCAGTTTCTATCGGACTTGGAGGCATCTGCTGGAGTGGATTCTCCGTAAATCATCTGGACTTGGCCCCTCAATACGCTGGACACCTCATGGCTATCTCGAACACTTTTGCGACAATCCCCGGAATCTTTGGACCTCTACTTGTTGGCGCAATTGTGGAGACTGGAGTAAGATACATACATCGCAGAGTAATTTAACAATCTGTAATTGCAGACGCTCGGTGAGTGGAATGTGATTCTTTACGTCATCATCTCTGTCTATCTCGCTGGCGCAGCAGCATTCTGGAAAATGGCGGACGCAACCCTTCAACCATGGGCTTCCGATCACAATTCCTTTGTCGGACAGCTTGAATAGACAAAGGACATATCCTGTAAACATGCATTTCCTCTCTCACCCAATCATATGTATTCTCCCCATGATCTACAACTAGTTGCATAATTGCGTCATGATACAAAGATTATGTGTTGAGAAATTCCGAATTGTTGTTTCCTGAAAATGAACAGTTTGGACGTTATCTTGGGGGAGTACATGTTTATTGATTTACAGTAGTTGAAAGTACATCGTAGAGCTTTAGACTATTCCCTACACGGGAGAATGTATTTGCACCACAAGTAATTGCTCAAAAAAAGAAACTAGGAGAAGTTTAGAAGACAATAAATGACAGTAAATGAGCGAGAAAGGGGAACCATTTGGAGTGATAGGAGTGTGTACGCGCAGTCAGACGGCGTGGTTAGGAAATCGGGGTTGCCAGATGGCTTCGAAATGACGTTGTTCTTCCAACTGGTGGAAGAAGAGTGTCAGACCAACCGGCAACCACACATTTCCAGGTGATTATGATGATCTCGGCTATTAAACTAGGGGTAAAGAGCGGCAGGAGATTTGATAAAGAGCGCGCGGAATGGGTAAGAGCGCCGTCTGAACGCTGCGCCACACGGGAAGACAACGACGCATTCAGAGAACAGCACGGCGCATCGGTCGAAGACAAATCTTCGACTGATAGACCGCGACGTAATCTGGAATGACGTTGACGCCACTCCCAAAGTGGTTGCAATTGCTTGTGGGCTTGAGTTGTTCAGGCGCTGGCGAGCTCGTCTTGGGCTCCGGTGGTGATGAGGTGAGCGAAGGCCTTGTAGTCGACCTCTCCTCCCTCGATTGGTGGTTTTCCCTGCAAAAGCGAGCACAATGAGCATACGAGGATCAGGTAAAGTAATCGTTACCTTGTACATAGCCTTGATCTCGTCCTCGTCCAATGGCTCTCCTCTCTTGTTTTGAAGGATCTTGATGAGCTCGTCCTCCTTGATCTTTCCTCCGTCTTTCTTGTCGAACATGGCGAAGGCTCCGACGATGGTGGCCTCTGGGTCAGTTCCTGAAATGCCACGTCATTAGTCCCCATATTCTCATTCAGTTAGCTTTACCGGTCAATCGCTCTCCGAAAAGGGTGAGGAAGACGGTGAAGTTGATTGGTCCTGGGGCCTCCTTGATCATGGCGTCGATCTGGCTGTCCGGGGCAATTTGTCCCATGGAAGCATAGAGATCCTTGAGGTCAGACTGAACAAAAACACACTGAATTAGAAGCACTCAAAAGGGTTACTGATTACCTTGTCAATGATTCCGTCCTTGTTCTGGTCCATGATTCCGAAAGCCTCCTTGAACTCCTGGATGGTCTTCTGGTCGAACTGAGCGGCCTCGGATCCCGAGCGCTTCTTGGAGGACTTCTTCTTGGCGGCCTTGGACTGAAAACAAAACATAAGTTCGTGCTCACAGAAAAATAGAAAAAAGTCGTATTCTACCTTATCCCTGCCATAGTTAGTATTTATTCCCAATGTGGGTGGCCTATGTGAATGTTGAACTCAAGGCTAAGTAGAAGCTTTTTAGAAACTCACCATTTTGTGGACTGTGTGGAGCAGTGAATGAGACTGACTGAAGGATATCCGTCGCTCTCTCTCTGCCTTTTACACTGTCGGCGGAGCTTCGGGGGAGGCTGTTTGAGCAAATCTCAACAACTTTACACAAGAGGCGCACCGCCCCCGTGGTGCTAACATCAGGCATCCGACGGAGGCTTCCAAGAAGATGAGCAAAACTCTCGCGTCGACTCGCTCTCATCGACTTACCCGCCGCGGAAAGAGGGGGAAGAGGGAGAGAGAGAGAGAAAGTTCGCCGATCACAAAAATGAGAAAATGAAGGGGGAAAACGGGGAAGTAAGGGATCAGCAAAAGATGCAATGTGGAGGGGCTCTGTTGAGAAAGTCGAGTATGCATATTGTAATGAGTGGATGGGATGAAAAGAGACTATTCCAGGCTCTCATGTGTTGCATACACTTTTGGTTCTCTCAAAATTTAAATATGACAATAAACTTAAAAACGGTGATCAGAGAGTTTGGTATTTCGAAGAGCCCAAGAAAGTGTTGTTTTAGAATTAACCTTTTCAGCAAATCAAACTTTATTCCACTCAAAAATTGGTTGAAACAACTGTCGCACGTCAATTCCCTCGGCAGCGTCCTGATTGTTTATCCAAGACTAGATAAGTCCCGCATGAAGTTCTAATCACCCTTTCAGGAAAGGTTTCATGCTTACTTATGTCGAGAACTCATTTATCGCACGAAATTCTGTTTTTCTTCTTTAAAAACGACCATCTCCAAAATTATAAATTTTTGCTCGCAAGAAGGAACACTTCTTCAAACTATTGTTCCACTCGACCTCGAAGATCCCCGACTCTTGAAATCTGCTTGAATTATGTAATTTGGCCACCCCGGTAGCTGCTGGCTCACATCCCCCTTAACCTCAAACCTCCCTCTCTATGATCCACTCCCGCAGATATCTGCACAAAAGCGTCGCGCCAGAGTAAAAACTTTCTACGTTGACTTTTACCTGCGCTTGAGATGCACTTGAGAAAATATATCGAGGCAAACAGTTGGCTTTTCCCCCCAAAAATCTTCTCATCTCGGGGATATTTGCGCTCGCCGTTTCTCAAACACATATTGCGTATTTCTCCCGCCGCAGGAGCCTGCCAGAGAGCCCAAGTCCCGAAGAGACAGCAGACGTTCGTCGGGATCACGGCTCGGCTCCTGCCGTCGGGCTCCTGTGCACAAGACGTTATCTCTCTTGCCACGATAGATCGCGGATCTGCACTGTTACACTCTATCTCCAACGGCATCCCGAGAATCTGGCACTCTCCGCCGATCGCATATTCATTCAGTGGTGCCCGCCGAGAGCACCTCCTCCATCTCGTATCACCCTCCCGCCCTTCAGCTACTCCTCCCTCCTCATCTCTTTTCCATACGCCTACCAGCCAACCATTATTATCTCGGCGCTCTCGGCAGGATCGCAGCTCGCACTGCCTCTTCATTCTATCCATGTGTGCTTCCACGAAAACCTTTTCTTTGTCTTTCCATTTTGTTTCATTTTCAATATCTCGTTATAAGTTGCGCTGTTGTAGGTAGCGAAACCTTTCCCAACATGTCCAAGGCCGCCAAGAAGAAGTCCTCCAAGAAGCGCTCGGGATCCGAGGCCGCTCAGTTCGACCAGAAGACCATCCAAGAGTTCAAGGAGGCTTTCGGAATCATGGACCAGAACAAGGACGGAATCATTGACAAGGTAATCAGTAACCCTTTTGAGTGCTTCTAATTCAGTGTGTTTTTGTTCAGTCTGACCTCAAGGATCTCTATGCTTCCATGGGACAAATTGCCCCGGACAGCCAGATCGACGCCATGATCAAGGAGGCCCCAGGACCAATCAACTTCACCGTCTTCCTCACCCTTTTCGGAGAGCGATTGACCGGTAAAGCTAACTGAATGAGAATATTAGGACTAATGACGTGGCATTTCAGGAACTGACCCAGAGGCCACCATCGTCGGAGCCTTCGCCATGTTCGACAAGAAAGACGGAGGAAAGATCAAGGAGGACGAGCTCATCAAGATCCTTCAGAACAAGAGAGGAGAGCCATTGGACGAGGACGAGATCAAGGCTATGTACAAGGTAACGATTATTTTACCTGATCCTCGTATTCTCATCGTGCTCGCTTTTCCAGGGAAAACCACCAATCGAGGGAGGAGAGGTTGACTACAAGGCCTTCGCTCACCTCATCACCACCGGAGCCCAAGACGAGCTCGCCAGCGCCTGAACACCCATCATTGCACCCATATCTTAAATTGTTTTTCAATTTCGTTCGCAACAAAATTTCTCATTTATTCATTCAATTTATAATCTTTCAATGGATTAGTGCAATAAATGGTGGTGATAAAACTAGTTGAAATTAAGAATTAGCGTTGTTCTTCAAATTATTACACAAAAAGTGATTGGTATGAAGTTTGAAACTCCCCGGGAATTATTAGTTTGGCAAAAAGAAACTCAAACCTGGACAAATGAAATTATCACATGAAATCAGCGGTTCAGGATTGACAAAATAAGACACAATGGTGGCTCTTGTGACGGACGATAAAAGAAGGAAAAGGAGAAGTAATTATGGTGGAATTGCAAAATGGATGGCGCACACAAAAAATATGAAGTGTACTGTGGAACTGGCTGGAATGAGGAGACTTCGCAGACTGCTAGTTTTTGAGAAAATGAGCTATTCCATCTGATTGTCGTCATGCGGAGCGGGTTCGGGGAATACTGGCGGCCAGATTCGGGCGCTCGGTCCCTCGTTGTAAGGCATCACAGCCATCTCTCTGTGGTACGGGTCCATCGGCTGCGCGGACACCTCCATCCCGGCCTCAGCCTCGGTCAGCGGTCGCACACGGAGAATCACCCAGATCGACTCTGAAAATCGGTAAATTTGTGGTTAATGGAAGGCAAAACGGTCGGAGTTGAATGGATGTAACTGCTCGGGTCTCTTTTTGCAGAAGAGGGTTTGAAATTGGTGAAAACCAGTCAAAAGATCGAAAATTATGCATTACATGTTGACCTTAGCCTCCGGTGAGGCCGTTGGGTCCGTGCGGGACGGGATGTGCGGGTTCTCGGCCAGGCCCGTGAGTACTATGAGAAAATGTATCTCTTTGATGCTCACCTCCGAAAAATATGTTCTGCGGAGTGACGAATTGAAAGCGAGCCTTGAAGTCGCCCATCTCCACCGGGCATGTGATCCGAATCTCGATGTTTTCCGACTCATCCGGGTCGAGCACTGTATCCTTTCTGATTTCGTAGTCAATCGGGTCTCCTGGAAAGCAATACATGTTTTTGAACCCAATGTGAAACCTCGTTCTCACCGTCCACAAAAGCAAGTCGGGTTCCATTGGGCCACCGGAATCTGCCGTCGTTGACCACTCGCCATCCGCAGAAGAACGTCGAGTTTGGTCTGTACGTGAAGGTCTGCAATCAAGCGGTATGTGATAAAAATGCATTTGGCAGCTCACTCCGGAAATGGCTTCACGGTTAGTGCACTCTTTGACTGTGGAGGAGAGGCACGACTGGCGGAATGCCTCTTCCATGTGCACCAAATCCCCATTCTGGTCGTAGAACACGCTGAGCGCCGTTGACAGATTCCTGAAGCCAATATTGCGGACGTATTCATCTAGCAGTCTTGACTGATTGTCGTTTGATTCTACTCATTTTTGAAAAAAAGCTCACCAATTGGCCAAGTCCAGGTAAAATGCGGCGAGATCGTGAGGAATTGTCCTCGGCGAGATGATTTCCTCGAACTTTCGAATCAAAGTCTGAAAAGTGTCGTTTTAATCGCAAAATATTCGAGTTATAGTTTACATCTCTGTCGTCTGTAGTCATTTGACTCATTTTCGATATCAGATTGTTCTCCAAGGCGTCCATTTTGCTGGCTGAAAGAAGGTAAAATTGCGTACATGCGAGACGAAACAAAACGCGCAAAAAAAGGTGCCGATCAATACAATGCCACGCTGCCGTCGCTTTTTGGGCGAGTCTACGAAACGACGCGCACGCATGGAGACAGGAAAATAACGAGGAAAAGGTGAAATGAACGATGTACTGGAATGTTTTTGCAAGACTAGATGATTTTAGGGAAGCGAATTGTTGTGTACCACCGAAAAACCTTATCGAATTGTTCTACCTGTAATTATTATTGTTTTCCCTTTGTTGACACCAAAACCTATCAACATATTGGAGTGATGAGAGAAAACTAGAAAAATCTAGAATGGGAACTTGTAAACAAAACGGATGAGAGCCGCATAGACAAATCGAATGTTGTTGGTGACACGTCTTCAGAGAACATACGAGCAAAGGCTCATGACCATCGCGTGTCCGCAAACACTCCACGCTAAAGTGCACATAACAAGATAGTGTGTAAGCTGAAAAGACAGAGACCAGCATACATCCTTGTGGGCATTTGAATACACGAACATCAACATTGTAACATAGCACTTGGGTACCATAAATTTCTATATACATTTGTCGTTTTTTTACAGTTTCTAACCTGATTATACGCATTTTATAGGATTTTCTGAGCTCCTAGGGGCGTAAAATGACGTTCACTCTGAAAAGTTTTGCGGTTTTTTAGTTGTTAGAAGTGAAAATTTTTTTTCTATTTGTAATCTGAATTTTCGGGTTTTATACTTTTTTTCGAGTGATGACGTGGCTGAGACCTAGAATGAAAAAGCGAAATTTATGGGACACGAGTGGTGCAAACTCCATATTTTGAGACCCGGATACTTTTATGAGGGCCAATCTTTTTAATTTCAGGTAATCACAAACATGGAAAACGAAATATTCACGAATCCTGGTTTTATATGCGAAATTTCGAACAACACACTAAAGGCACAGTATTTATTTTTAATGCGTATTCATAAAATTGCTTTAGGTGTTCTTCTTCAAGCACAGAATAGTCGAGATCCCTCTTCCCTGGGACCATCGGGAGCGAAACATCAGAGTTGGCCTATCATTTTGCTTTTGCAGTTAATTACCGCAGACGGCGGTGCCCCAGAAGCAAATGCATATTGAGAACGACCAGCTTTACATTCGAACTGTCGCTGTCGTGCCGAACGCTCATCACTTTGTAAACAGAAAATTGAACGCCACATACAGATAGTACATGCATACACTCTGGAGCCCATGGGTGAACGTCGTCAGTGATCCCGGCTTGATTTTTTTCACTTGCAAACTTGCAAACTAAATCACAAAGCGGCAGAAGTAATCTAAAAAAAACCAGCACAACAACAACAAACTTTGTTTTAGATTCTCGCTAAATACACTCCAGCCGGCGAAAATTCGTTTGAGCTTATATCAATGAATCGCCCGAACCGCTGCAGGTTTTTTGTGGAACAAGACTCGGCTGTAAGTTGAAATGAAAGTGCTGGAAATTAGAAAGCTGTTTTCAGCCGTGGAATAAAGAGAAACGATACCTGTGCGAGGAGTTCAATAAACCTCTCCCAACTGCATGCGTAAGTACCTTTTCGTTGGTATTGCTGTGGCTGTGAATGTCGAAAACCCTGCGTTCGTCGCATATCGAAACAATCCATATTGTACAGTAATTTACTGTCGCGAATTTGGAATGGTGCGAAGCATGCAAAATCTACAGGCACTGGATCCACCTGTCTCTGTAAGAGCACAAAGTATTAGAGCGGCATTAAAAAAATATACGAGACTTTCAGGTCGGTGATTTCGTTGTAGACAACCCAGTCAAAAATAAAAAAACGCAACTCCATCCACCGGTTCGGTATTTTCCGCGATAACAATGTACATATTCTCAAAACTGGACAATATATGAGAACACAAATTGTTACGGGTGATCTTCAAGTAAGGTTACAAAAACACGAAAAATTAACACGCCCTGGTTTACAGATTGAGACAAAGTTTTTGCGGAGAGGCAAATATTCCTTTTTTGATTATTTCCCTGGAGAGATACACATTTCCGACCATCTCGTTCGCTTTGTTCGCGCAGTGAGTGAAATGGGATGCCTAAATAAAATAGAACTTTTACCTTCTGAAAAGCTTAACGTGTTTCAATTTTTCAGATCATCAACAACTACTGCAGGTGGTGGGGCGTGGAGAAGAGACAACTGCAAAGTGTTATGGTGACAGTGAAAGTCAAACTTAGAACAGATTGGCTCCGAGCAGCCAAATTATCTACAAACAGTGTTTTTTTCACCGTCAATAACATTGCTAAAATTTCGGAAGAAGAAACAAATCGTTTGATTTGGACATGTTGAAATAAGATCAACTCGCTTTTCTTAATATATGTATTTGTTACATTCTTGTTTTGTTCTTTAATTGTTTGCTTCCGCTGTTATTTGATCTGCATTTTATTGTTCAATAAAATCCGAATAAATGAGAAAACATGAATGGAACTCATCCGCAGTAGAACGTCTTGGTCGTCAGGTCGATCGTTTTCTTGTATGGCGTGCAACAAGAAGTTCTCGGGAACAGACACACACTGTTCGCGCATGCCGCTTCTTGAGTGAAGTCTCCGCTGAAACAAATAAAGAGATTGTTCCTTCATCTTCATTTATTTTTTAATTTGTAACTTACTCGCATTGACATCCTGATGGGAAACAGTAGCGATATTGATCGATGATTCCACAATTTCCGCATGTGTCATTACAAGTTGATCCGGAAACTGTTGTCCAATCGGTCCATGTTCCAGTGCAATTTTGTGGCTGTAAATACAAGATGAGCAGTATGTAAAAGTCGATAAGTACCGGATCGTCTTGGCAGTACTGTGAACCGTCGTAGCCTGTTGCCAAATACTTTCCATCGCAGCAAGCGTCACCAGTAGAGCAAACCGCTCTTCCGCAAGCTTGAGTTTCGATAGAATCCCCTCTGAATCAGTATTTCTTAGCAACTTACAATTAAAACTAGGCACTTACACGCAAGGACATCCATATGCAGCTGATGCACAAGTTCGGTTCCTGACCTGTAAGCCGCATCCTCCACACGTTGAGTTGCAAGTCGTCCAGGTAGTCCATTGGTTCCAGAGTCCAATGTTTTCTGAGAACATATCTGTAGAACAGAACATCCTACTAATCACAGCTCACCTGGATCGCAACAAGTAGTTTGTTCTGGATTGAAAACGGGTTCTTCGGCCAATGGTCCACAGTAGAAGACTTTGGCAGTAACATTGATAGTTTTTTTGAAACCAGTACAGCACGATGTTCTTGGGAAGAGGCACACACTCGAGGCGCATGTATTGGTTTCTGTCGCGTTGCCTCTGTATTTTCATAAAGTGCACTAAAATTTCACTGTGACTGGACTTACGAGCAATCACAACCGTATTCTAGCGACAGACAAGTTCTTGACCTAGTCGTGACTCCACAAGATCCACAGGTGTCATTGCATGCAGACGTTGTTATCCATTCTCCCCAAATTCCTTCGGAAGGACAACAAGTTACTCCGCATGTATTCAATTTGTCCGGGTCGCTTACAGTATCAGTCTGAACAAAAATTGTGACATGTCTATGAAAAAACTGCTTCGGATACCAAAGGTCCGCAAACGTGGGCGTTATTCTCGACAGTTGCTGTATAGCCAGGACAACAACTCAATCTTGGGAAGTAACAGACTCCAGTTCCACACAATTCTGTTACAGATGTCTCTCCTCTGAAAAAATACATGTTTAAAAAACTTTAACTCAAATGTTCAATGTGTGTCTTACTGGCACGGACATCCATCAGCTTCGGAAGTGCAAGTACGGGTTCGTGTTTGATTACCACATGAACCACAGTAATCCAAACACTGTGAGGGTGTGAATGTCCAGTCTGACCATATTCCGGTCTCAGGACAACATGTTGCAGTACAGTTCGGATCGTATGGAGCGTATGTAGTAGTGTAGTTTGGCTAAAATTTGAGGTATTATCAAATGTTTCTTGAATGTTACTTATTTCTAACCTGAGGTCCGCATGCATGCTTATCGTCAATTACTGTTGCTACCAGTCCATTACAGCACGTGTCCAGTGGGAAGTAGCAAACTCCAATTCCACAATTCACGTCACGAGAAGAAGCTCCTCTGCATGAATTATGTTAAAAGTGAACAAAGAAAATTCAGAACTTACTTGCAAGGACATGAAGACGGTGACATACAAACACGTTGTTGAGTGACGGTTGAGCAAGATCCGCAAGTAGTTGGACAGGACCCTCCAGCAGTCCATTCTGACCAATATCCTCCGGACGACGGACAACAGTCTGTTGCACACAATGTCGACGGCGGTGCGTCAGAATCGTCCTGAAATTAATGTGCATTCAAGTTATCGACGGAACATGGAACAATACCGCTGCAGAGCACTCGAATGTATTTCCAACGATGATTTTAGTTCTAGTTCCACAACAAGTCGTCCGCGGGAAGGGACAAGGTGATGGAGCGCATTCCGCAATTTTCGTTGTGTTTCCGCTACAAATTGGTCTTCAATTGGGAATAAATTGTCTGACATACCTGCATGCGCATGAGTAATCTTCTGACAGACAAACTCTCGATAAAGTGGTACTTCCGCAATTTCCACATGTGTCATTACACGAGTCTCCAGATGACCATTCGGACCAAACTCCTCCCAGAACGCAACAAGATGGAGTTGTAGTTGAGCAAGGAACTGGATCCGTTTCATTGGAAGCGCTCTCCTAGGAAAATATTCGAAATATTTTGCTATTTTGTGGGAGAAGAACGTACTAATGGTCCGCAAACCGACAATCCATCAATTGTTGTTGATGTTAGATTTTGACAGCAAGGCGTTGAACTGGAACATGGGACCCTGCTGCAGTACTCGGTTTTTGATGCATCTCCCCTAAAATATAGTAGTATTAAAATCTAATCGATTTTTTTCGCAACTCACATGCAGAAACAACCGTCTGTTTTTGAACAAGATCTTGTGTAGGTCAGAGTTTGGCATGAGCCACACGAAGAGTTCGTACATGTATCAGTTGTCTAAAAACGCAGCAATAGCAGTCCATAGTTCGGAAAACAATCTCACCGTCCATTCTGACCAGATAGACAATGTTCGACACGATTCTGTTTCCGTGCTATCTCCTGTGCACGAACAGAACGACGAAGATGCACAGTCCCTCGTTCTGGACCGCGTCCCATCGCAACTTCCGCAAGTAGTGCCATTACAGGATGACCAATCACTCCAAACTCCCCAAATTCCGTTTGTTGGGCAACACGTTTCATCATTAGAGTCG